ATCAAAATAATTCATTTTGTGCAAAGGGCAGTAACTCTTATCATAAGGATTTAGTTTGTGCCATGGGCAGTAACCTTATCAAACTAATCAAAATTAAAAAAAAAGTTGAGGCAAGATGTCTGCCAAGGAGCATTGGTGTGAGTCTAAATTGGAAAAAAATATAGCAAAACAGACAAAAGGGCAACAACTCTTTATTACTTTCTTTGGACAGTCTTTAGACATAAGGGCAACAACTATTTATAGCTTACGTGGGACAGTCTTAAGATATAAGGGCATCAACTCTTTATAGCTTATTTGAGAAATTCTTAGGATGTAACGGAACAACTGTTTAAAACTTACTTGGGACAGTCTGTTTTGATAGCTTGTTGCTAATGCTAACTCTTAAATTAATATTTTGAGATAAGTTTTATGTTAACCTTACTATTCCTATACAATAAAAGATCCTATGAGAACATGTACTTTTCTTGAGATGAGATTTATTTTTCCTAGCAGGCCCCCCAAAAAATGAGTCATAAAAGTTGGTAAAGAGTTTTAACTGTATGAACTTGATTCAAGCCACTCAACAAACCTTTGTTAATTGTCTTAAATGATTCTTAAAATATCCCTAAGTTATTTACTAGCAACTGCCTTACTTCAACATAGATTTATGATCATGTTTATTTATGAAGTCTCACAAGATTTCAGCTTCTTGGATTACTACAGTAAATTTTTTGAGGTTTTTTACTTTTTTGCTCACCTGTTACCTTTCTAATTACGGCCAGCTGAAGCTCTGAGCTTCATGAAGAACAGGTAATGCAATTTACAATAGGATTATTACTAGAAGGGCATGTCTTATAAGTATCCACACAAATTGTGCATCTGATTCAAATTATGTTACCGTGGTAACATAGCAGCCATATTTACCTGGTTTTTACTATTATCAATCATGGTAAGTAAAAAATGTCAATTTTATGACGGAGAAAATTAGAGTGATGATGGAAATGGTAGAATGTCAGGAGCAGGAGAGATATATGAGTCACGTCACGACAAAACCAACATAATGGGTTTGCTACCAGCATGGATCCAAACCAGCCTGAGCATCCGCGCAGTCTGATCAGGATCCATGCTGTTTGCTGTCAGTTTCTCCACTTGTAAGAGAGTTAGTAAGCGAACAGCATGGATCTTGATCAGACTGCGCGGATGCGCAGGCTGGTCTGGATCCATGCTGGTCGCAAACGCATAACATTGGTTTTGTCTTGACGCGGCTCATATATACAGGAGTATACAGGTAGTAACATAAAACATGTCAAACATTTACTACACTCTACTCTCATAACAACATTTTCCTACCAACACATGATATACTGGAGCCAGACAACAATTTTATACTCTAAAATGCTAAATTATCATCAGAGCTGTCATTGATTCAATGCAAACTATATCAACAATATATCTATATTTATATCGGATGACAAATATCAATGATACACGCCCATTGCACAATTTTTATCATAATATAACTAAATATAATCAAGAAAAAAATCCTCATCTGATACATTAACCAGGAGAAAAAATATTATCATTCACCTTTGTTAAGAAAGAAGAAAATATCAAAGAAAAAAAAACCATAAAAAATAACAAGAATATCTTATCCCAGTAGTTATGACATCATGTTAATTCATCATTAGATTTAATTTAGCTAGAAATTAGTAAATTATACATGCATCAATAGACAAACACCAGGAAAATTTATCTTTTTGTGACAAAAAAAGTCAATGTTTGTGCCAATAGAAGAAGAGTCATGCTGGTTTGTTAAAAGAATTATAAGCTGTCACATGAATTACCAGGTGAATAGTCACATTACTACCCTGTGGACATGACTTTAATATATCTCTATCTATATTTAACATGACTACCTGGTGAAAATAAAGATTACTATCTACTAAACATGCAAATACATGTATCTAATAAAACTTTAGGTACCTGGTTATGTCACTAACAGACAATAGTCACATGACTCACTAGTGAACAGTCACATGACTTACAGTTAACAGTCACATGACTTACAGTAAATAGTCACATGGCTTACTAGTAAATAGTCACATGACTTACAGTTAACAGTCACATGGCTTACCAGTAAATATTCACATTGCTAACAGTTAACAGTCACATGGCTTACTTGTAAATAGCCATATGACTTACTAGTTAACAGTCACATGGGCTTACCAGTAAATGTCACATGGCTTACAGTTAACAGTCACATGGCTTACCAGTAAATAGTCACATGACTTACTAGTTACATGGCTTACTAGTAAATAGTCACATGACTTACAGTTAACAGTCACATGGCTTACCAGTAAATATTCACATTGCTAACAGTTAACAGTCACATGGCTTACTTGTAAATAGCCATATGACTTACTAGTTAACAGTCACATGGCTTACCAGTAAATAGTCACATGGCTTACAGTTAACAGTCACATGGCTTACCAGTAAATAGTCACATGACTTACTAGTTACATGGCTTACTAGTAAATAGTCACATGACTTACAGTTAACAGTCACATGGCTTACCAGTAAATAGTCACATGGCTTACAGTTAACAGTCACATGGCTTACAGTTAACAGTCACATGGCTTACCAGTAAATAGTCACATGACTTACAGTTAACAGTCACATGGCTTACCAGTAAAAAGTCACATGACTTACCAGTAAAAAGTCACATGACTTACCAGTGAACAGTCACATGACTTACTAGTTAACAGTCACTTGGCTTACCAGTAAATAGTCACATGACTTACTAGTTAACAGTCACATGGCTTACCAGTAAATAGCCACATGGCTTACCAGTAAATAGTCACATGACTTACTAGTTAACAGTCACATGGCTTACTAGTAAATAGTCACATGACTTACAGTTTACAGTCACATGGTTTACCAGTTAATAGTCACATGACTTACAGTTAACAGTCACATGGCCTACTTGTAAATAGCCACATGACTTACCAGTGAACAGTCACATGAATTAACAGTGAGCAGCGACATGAATTACCAGTTCACAGTCACATGACTTACCAGTTAGCAGTCACATGACTTACCAGTTAGCAGTCACATGACTACTAAGTGAAAATCATATTACAATCTGCTAAACATGCAAATATCTACACCAAAATTTAACTACCTTGTCATGTCATATGGCTACAAGTGGACAGACATTTGTCTCAATAAAATCACATGACCAGTTACCAGAAGTGGAAAGTCATATGACCACCAGTGAAAAGTTATATGACTATCAGTGAAAACTCAAATAACAATTAGCATTATCACATGGGTCTCAGTGAACAACTGTATGACTATCAATTTCACATGACTACCACTTAATTGTCACATAAACTACATACTAAACATGCACATTTCTATCAAATAAATAAACTAAACGATGACTACCTAGTGAGAAATTTAGTTTTGAATAATCAGATATTAATCTTGCAAATAATAGCAATTCTACTTGGTTATTGGTAGCATCACTACCATTTTAATGTCTCCTGAATTCCAAAATATCAATTGTTTCAAAACACTTAAATATTTACTGTTAACCTCACAATCTTACAGACTTTAAATCTGATGATTGCAACAAGATAAAGAGTTACCATTGGTCACTTCAAAATAATACACACTTAACCTCAGATCACTTTAACATGATAAACACTTAACCTCAGATCACTTCAAAATAATACACACTTAACCTCAGATCACTTTAACATGATAAACACTTAACCTCAGATCACTTTAACATGATAAAAAGTTAACCTTAGATCACTTTAACATGATAAACACTTAGCCTCAGATCACTTTAACATGATAAACACTTAGCCTCAGATCACTTTAACATGATAAAAAGTTAACCTTAGATCACTTTAACATGATAAACAGTTAACCTTAGATCACTTTAACATGATAAACAGTTAACCTTAGATCACTTTAACATTATAAACAGTTAACCTTAGATCACTTTAACATGATAAACAGTTAACCTTAGATCACTTTAACATGATAAACACTTAACCTCAGATCACTTTAACATGATAATCAGTTAACCTTAGATCATGTTAACATGATAAACAGTTAATCTTAGATGACTTTAACATCATGTATAATATAGTTAACCTTATATCATTGCAATATAATAAACACATAACCTCAAATCACTGTGACATGATGTAAAGTTAACCATTGATTCCTGCAACAAGATAAACACTTAACCTTAGGTCACTGCAACATGACATACAAATATACCAAGATTCATGTTTTATTTAAACTACAAATGACTATTTTCATTAACATTCATGAGTTATCTCCCTTACTTTCTATCAAGAAACATTTTATGAGAAAGAGAACAACTAAAACCATTGTGTAATTAAACCATAAAATAGTGCTAGTAAACAAAGATGCAAACTATAAACTGTAACTATAACAATATCACAAACTATATCACCATGGTAACAATGAATTCTTAATTTTCATACATACCTCCTGAATACAGAATTTGGAAAATAAAGGGAAAAATATTATTTCTTATAATAACTCCTATCTGTTGCATTATTTATTTTAATGAATAAATATATTTTTTTCAATTATATCTAGTTTTATAAACAAATTAATAATGGGTAATTTGATATGTTCTGTTTGTTTAGGATAATTATATTATTATAGCACATATATTTACCTCTAGATAATTCAGAATTTCATATGATAATGTTTTCCAAACAACAGAATGTTCAATGTTAAATGTTCAAACAACCTGCTTAAAAAATTCTCAGTCCAAAATTTCTTTTTTGAAAATGCACAAATTTCTCCATCTATTACAAAGAAATTAGAAATAAGGCAATAATGTTTTTCAGGAGAATCCTTTTCTTTAAAGGATAATAAAATTATCAGCTAAGGTTGACAAAAATTTTCCATTTGCATTTATACCGACTAAACTTTATGATGTCAAACAAGTTCCTATATAGGTAACACACCTTGTGTATTTCTCGATTTATGTTGGCCACCTTGATGTTGGCATCCATGGCATCGAGATTCATCTCTAAATCTTTTGCCGTCTGCTTGAACTTGATCCACTCCGGGACAATTATCACCAACGTTTTCCTTTTCTTCTCTGAGTCAGATTTTAACGTCTCCCAGGAATCCTGATATATATTAGAGAAAATAGATTTGTTATACAATAAGATTATAGATATGTAAAGTTATAAATGTTACAAAATTAGAGAGAAGGTAGGTAAAACTTCATAAATACGGTGGTGAGCTTGAGAAAATGTCTGAAATCTTGAGAAAATGTCTGAAATCTTGAGAAAATGTCTGATATCTTGAGAAAATGTCAGAAATCTTGAGAAAATGCCTGAAATTTTTTAGTCTACCCTGTCTGTTATAAGAAACTTTAACCTTGTCCCACAGCAGTCAATATTTCAGGTGAATCAAAATTATTGATACCTACATACCCAAAAGTATTTAACAAGAAATTATAAGCAAATCTTACTTTCAATACACGAAAAGATTTGTTAAAGATTTTATATGACTTGGGGAACAAAATAAAACATAATGCTTTGAGAATTTTAAGTTCCATTGAACTAGTTAAAGTTGTAAAACATAACTTTGAATAACAACTTCTATTTCAATCAAACCTTATAGTCCTAATTCAATATAAAATATTCAAATAAGGAAGAAAACAGTTCTTCATCATTCCATACCTTGAGTGTTTCTACCTCGGCTTGTATACGTAAACTCTCAGAGGGATCTTCATCTTCTAGTTGCCTTGACAACGAGTCACCTTGGTATATCAATCTCTCTACATTCTCATTCATTCTCTGTAAATTGGTGTCCAATTTCTGAAAAACATGATGTCATAATCTTGATTTATTTCTCTGGATTTATCACAAAAATTTACATGTCCCAGTACATTGTAAATTTCAACATAAAAATGATAAACATTTCATGCATTTCATTTTAAATTGCTTCAAAAGTAAATAACATAAAAATGTATTATATGACAGGGTGAGAAAAATGTGCATCCTGACCGGGACTCAAACCCGGGACCATTGGAATATCGTTCTGCAACTCTACTGACTAACTATCCAGGCACTTACACATAATCTCCCCTACATAGTAAACAGTTCTGAACTGTGACAATTATCATATAAAATACAGTTCACACAGATTATCAAGACATCAACACAGAATATACAAAATATCAAATGGTCTACCTCTTTATGATGCAAGTTTTGGAACATTTCATACCTTAGCATTATCCTGCAGGTCTCCTATGCCGTCTTTATGTTGCAGGTTACCATGACAAACTATATCTCTCTGATAAGCCTCGATCATTTCCTGTGCTGTATCATATAGTGTATGAAACTTTGTCGCCGACCCTTCAATGTCGTCTGTTGATAACACAGGGGCCATCGAGGTCATCACCTGGGATACTGTTGTCTTGGTAACAGTTGTTTTGGCAACCTCAACTTTGACCTCTGTGTGCTCTATTTCTTTAGGTGAGTGAACAACTATACTGTCAGCATCATCTGATGGTTGGTTAGCAAGTTTATCCTAAAACAAGACAAGTTTGCCAATTCTTTACTTATCTAATGCATCAGTCAATGACAAACATACAAATTACATCATATGTGAACTTATCAGCCTTGTGCTTCTAAAAACATACCTCTGTATAAATTATTTAAGTACAAAATGACATTTAGTTACTGCCAACAACCTTTTTATCAACTACCTTAACATATTTTTTCAAGGAAGGAAATCTATATATATATTTCATTTTTTCTTCATAATTAAATTCAAAATTGTATGAATGTGATGCCAGCATTGCAAGCCCAATAACATAACTCATTTGTTCACATAGTTAAAGAAAATCTTTAAAATATTAAATTGATTTCATTATTTTTAAGCTTCAAAAATATCTCATTGTTTGGAATACAGGTGAATGAATATATAATCAAGTTTTGTGAAACAAACAATTATTTTATTTGTATAACGCTGCTTGATTAATAAATCAAACTGCATTAATGTCATCCTTATGTCATTTTGTATAAGATTTACATACCTTTATTCTTTGTATAAGCTCGGCCCACCTCTGGTTGAGGTAGGTGAGTTCTGGTTCAACCATACTGGTGTATCGGTTACTCTGACTCATCACATGTACGGCCGATTCTCTCACCTCATCTACGTCAGTTGCCTTCTCTACACAGTCACTCTGTAACATCTGTATCAATATTATATCATAATTATTTTATGAAAAATTCGAAGTTATGTACACAGTATACTCAATTTTATTTTGTCTGATAAATGGTAATTATATCATCTTTGTCCTTATCTAAGCTTTACCATGCTGTCCAGAACTGAATCTACCCAAGCATATAAATATTTAGAAATTTTCCTTCATAATGATGAACAGTTTGTGCAAATTGAAAGGACATTATTTTCAAAAAAAATCTCTACTTACTTGAGGTCAAGAATGGTGAGCTTAAAACTCAATGTGAAGGATAGTGAGCTGAAGCCAAAGTCAATGTGAAGGATAATGAGCTTAAGCCAAACTCAATGTGAAGGATAGTGACCTTAAGCACTACTCAATGTGAAGGATAGTGAGCTTAAGCAAAACTGAATGTGAAGGATAGTGAGCCTAAGCCAAAGTCAATGTGAAGGATAGTGAGCTTAAGCAAAACTCACTGTGAAGGATAATGAGCTTAAGTGAAGGATAGTAAGCTCATGCACTACTCAATGTGCAGGATTGTGAACTTAAGTGCTCCTTAATGTGGAGGATTGTCAAATTTAAAACATACTCTATGTGACATGAAATTATAGAAAGGAGGTCTAACCTGAAGTTTACCAGTCCAGTAATCAGCAGCTTGTTGCTTTGGTAACAGGGTATCGTGGGTATGTAGAACAGCCTCGGTCTGAGTTAACCAATCCTTTAACTTCATTAATAACATCTGAAAATTCTGGAAATCTTCATCTACATTACTCTCTTCTGACTGAAAACAAATAAATTAACGCTATATTTGAGCCGAGTCACGACAAAACAAACATAGTGCGTTTGCGACCAGCATGGATCCAGACCAGCCTGCGCATCCGCGCAGTCTGATCAGGATCCATGCTGTTCGCTTACAGACCTTATAACAAGTAGAGAAACTGATAGTGAACAGCATGGATCCTGATCAGACTGCGCGGATGCGCAGGCTGGTCTGGATCCATGCTGGTCGCAAAACCATTATGTTGGTTTTGTCGTGACGCGGCTCAAATATCTTAATAAATAAGTTTAATATCAATCCAAAAATGAGAGGTTACTCTGTCCAGCTTGTATTAAGTAATAACATCATCTGTCTGATTTATTTCCCTTGACTTTAAAATTTTCCTCACAGCATCAGGAATCTGTATTGATATGCACAAAACAATCCACGTATTCAAATGTAAAACATACATATTATCAACTGCAAAAACGTAAATTGATAACAGAATTTAATTAAATTCACAATTTTTTTACTTACCTGCTCCATTGTCTTCCTTTAGTCTATGTGCGTCTGCTGCAGGAATTTTACAGTTTATATATAAAACATAATGTAAACATATACAGGTAAAATTTAAATAATTACCTGTAATTTAGTTATCCAGGCTGTCAGTCTCTCCGACAGCTGGTTCCACTGACTAACAAGATTCTCATAGTTGGTTTTTGTTTCCATGACAACCCCTTCCTCTGTCTGCTCTGCTAGATGATGTATCAAATCTTTCATGGAACTGATCAGTGACTGGCGACGAATCATCTCCTCGTGTGTTGCCTAGCAACACAATATTTATATAAAGTAACAATCATATATTATCTTAATATATAGTATAATCTTTGAAAGCTTATCATTTTAAATTCAAAGTAGTGATCATTAAATAAAATTACTGTCAATTCCTGTTAATCTCTCACAGACAAATGTTAGCAATTGGGACAGGTGCATGCAAAATAACAAAATACTTGAATTCTGTTTTTCATAACTAGAGAAGACTGAGAATTGTGCCCCATCAAAATATCTTCAGCAAATATCTAAGTCTAAGACCATAATAATTATGTTGGTTGTAACTTAATTAAATGAAATGGAAAACATCAGTTATGCAAATTTGAATAAAAATAATTCTGTATTAACTTAAATGTACAATGCCTATTTTCTAACTGTCAATTGGAACACACAAATAAATAGATATACAGATGAATTAACAAAACAAAATAGTATTTTATATTTTACACACCTTGGCAAAAGCAATTTCTTTATTGACACTAGAGGGCGTCACTGATTTCTCTCGTATATCAAGCTCCTGGTTACTACGATTAATAAAATCATGAACAGCAGACGACTCTTTACGTAACTTCTTGTTCAGTTTTAAAGCTTTTTCAATCTTAGTCTTACCCTCGGTCACCTAAAGAAAATCAAAACAAAGTAGACGTTAACCCTTAACCTACTGAATGGGTTAATCCAGATTTCATGTTTGGAGCTGTCCATTTGAAGTCTGTCAGCAAAACAGTACTGAAACTGGTCAGACCTTGCATGGCTCTATACTAGCAGCCATGCATTAGTTACTTTCGAAAGAAACCTTAACCCTTAATCTGCTGAATGGGCTAATTCAGATTCCATGTTTGGGGCAGTCCATTATCATATTTAGGGATTTTTTTTCTGTCAGCGAAACAGAATAGAACCTGGTCAGACCATGCATGGACATGATTCTATACTAAAGGCAAAGCATAATTCGCTTTCAGTGCCCCACCAAGTTAAGGATTAAAATTAATTTAAAACTAACAAAATCATTCCTAATGATTCTTTTGGTACCAGTTTTGAGCTGAGCACATCACAGTTTAAATCTTTATAGGGAAAATTTCCAAATATGTACTGACTGAGTAGCGCACAGTGCAGACCATGATCAGACAGCAAGTTTGTGCACAGTCTTTTATTTGGGGAGAAATGAAAATTAATTCATGAATTTACAGAAACCAAGCATATAAATAATATTAATCTCACAATTATCCAATGAAAATTGACGTTACAAACATTTAATATTATAAAGATAAAAACTATATACCTGAGCACCAATGACATTAAACTGTTGTTTTAAAGCATCCAGTTGTTTATTGAGTTTATCTGGGAAGTCAACTTGTCTTTTCTCTACAATATGTCGACCTGTCTTTATCACATACTCTACCTCCGACTTTAACTCACTCATTATTGTGTAGAATTTCTGAAATTTAACAAAAAAACATTAACCTTGACAAATCATTAATTTGCTAACTTGAACTGCTTTGAATTTGGAAATGTCCATAGTTATTTTTACAGAAATTTAAAATGAAAGTACATGTTGTAAGTTTAGGCAGTAAATAATAAGGACCCACACTCAAAACAACACAATGAGTTTGAGGGAATTCTAGATTCTTGTTTAAACTATGGAATTTCCCGCAAAACACAAAAACATTTAACTAAACACCTTTACTTGGCAAAATAAATATGCAGATACTGTACATAGGTAGAGGTAAAATATTTGAGAAATCCTTAAAACTTTGATTTAAGGATTTTTGTATTTTAAATGTATTACAATCTTGAAATGCCAGAATAAACCAGATAGTTTTTACCGAAGTGGTTGACCATTTTTACCGAAGTGGGTATCATTAAATACGATATCAATATTTTACTCCACGTGGGTATCATTAAATATGATATCAATATTTTACTCCATGTGGGTATCATTAAATACGATATCAATATTTTACTCCATGTGGGTATCATTAAATACGATATCAATATTTTACTCCACGTGGGTATCATTAAATACGATATCAATATTTTACGCCACGTACCATACAATGATCATGTTTGTCCTGTAACTGGTCCAGATCGTCCCCGTGTATCTCCAGCAAGTATATTCTCTCTAGTATACCGTCAAGCTCACGTTTAACGTGACTCTGTTTCGGCTCAAAGTCAGCCGGACGCTGAAACTTCTGAAATTTCACCGTTAGATCTCCAAGATGTCTCTGTAAAGAAATATATAAATACACAAAATCATGATACAAGACAGTCCAGTCCGTCTTAGGGTTGATTGCCAAACTGTTGTAAGCCTTTCTCCATTTCATATAAGTTACTGCAGTTTTGTGGTCAACCCTCTCAAAGTAAAATTTTGGTTCTGATAAAACAACTATAAAAGGATTTCACACTTATCATTAGTTTATCACTATGATCAGATTTCAACTATTCGAACCCATTGATTATTCAAAGAAAATGTTCAGTCCCCGGCAATTCAAATAATTGAGGTTGGACTGTATGTAAGTTTTACCTTAGTCATCTGTAGTTGATAATCTAGTCTACTAGCTGCCTCGTCTTTACCATCAGCCTTGTATTTTTCTGATTGTTTCTCTAAAGCTTTGATAACTTCTTCTTGTTGACGAAACTCTTCCTTCATTTGCTGTAATCATAAAAGTAACAACAACTTATAATAATATTAAACCTTAACATTTATTAAATGAGCCGCGTCAAGACAAAACCAACATAATGGGTTTGCGACCAGCATGGATCCAGACCAGCCTGCGCATCCGCACAGTCTGATCAGGATCCATGCTGTTCACTTAAAAACCCTATAACAAGTAAAGAAACTGATAGCGAACAGCATGGATCCTGATCAGACTGCGCGGATGCGCAGGCTGGTCTGGATCCATGCTGGTCGCAAACCAATTATGTTGGTTTTGTCATGACATGGCTCAAATGAGCTTTACAAGTATCTATTTTTGGAACTGTCCGTTAAAGATAGTCAGACAGCAGTATAGAGCCTGGTCTTACTGCACTGATTTGTAGGCTAATGTGTCTGTATACTAAATTGGTGACAAAATATATTTAGAATAATTATGTATGTATTAATAAAATATTTCATTTTGACATCTTATGTCTATTTTCGAGACACTCTTATACAAGTGTTTGCTAGCTGATATTGGTGTCTTGATAATGAAATTCCTATAATTATTCTAACACTGATCTAACGTCAGCCCACACAAGTTTAGTCAACAAATTCAACAAACTTTAATTAATATCAAAATATGAAATATAGTTGAGAAATCAATATAACTAATTGAAACAAAATATTGATAGTTTTTATCATTTATCATGCAACTGCTATGGTCGGCAAGGCTCGCCCCTTTCTAGCCCATATCAGCCTTGCCTGATGAAATTGATATCAAAAGACAGTCGCATGTTATTCTCTATATATCTAAAGCAACACAGAAAATCAAATGTAATAATTACAATTTTGTTAATAATTCCCAAATTAATGTTCTCCGTATTTTCTTACATTAAAATTTTGGGAACAATAAACCTTACCATGCCAAAATTGTATGATGCAATGTACAATATACATTAACATAATGTGTAGCTATATACTAAAGTATCTTAATAATAAAAGATAAAAAAGTTTTGTTAATACATTGCTTAATATAACAAGATTATATAGAGGATATTTGTTTGTTTGTGTGTAAGATGAAATTTTATTTCATCGAGTGAGCTTTAAAAACAGTATTCTCACGAGTGGCGTAGCCACGAGTGAGAATACTGTTTTTAAAGTTCACGAGATGAAATACAATTACATCTTACACAACAAACAGACAAATTTTCTTTTTATTTTATGCTTAAAAACAAGTTAAAACGAAATTTCCATAATTTTAACGTTAATATTAAAATCTGTTTCCCCCATTGAGAGCCCCATTTAGACGGAATTTCTCATTTAAAACAAGAAGTCTTGAGCTGAAAAAGAAGTCCGCCAATCAAGGTTAAATGACGGTGATATGTATTCATTTTATTAAAAAAAATATGAATGATCGCTTGTTTTAATAATAAAGACAAAAAATTCTTGCAGGAGAAAATTCCAACCATCCATCCAAATTTCTGTTACTTACTGCGAATTTATATTAGACCTGGCTTTCTAAAATGTAAACGGCAGCCATTTTTTAAAGTTGTGTATTTCATGGGAGGAAAATAATTGTGTAAGATTCAGAAGGATATAATTTGGATTTGTTAGTCATACACCTTTTTAAAAGAAAGAAAACTTATTTGAGGATTGTAACAGACAAAAAATAAGTGTTGACAGAAGTGAAAACTTTCAGAAAAGGAGCTAGGAAAACGGAAAACTTGGAAGCTTGCTGAAGGAACGCTGGGTTATTTTACTTATTTTACGAGTGATGGCTGTCAATGCTTTTCAATTTTTCATAAAGCATACGGCAGTTATTGCTTGTAGGATACTTTAATATGCCCAAATGTCATCAAGAGCAGTTTTGCATGGGGAAGGAATGTATTTTTCAGACTGTAAAAACGAAAAAAAAAAAATTTAGAGTCGAAATTTGGTGATTGGAATTTGAAGGAATAGAAGTAAGTTTTCTCTCTGTGTTACTTTTGACATTTAAGTTATTTATCTATTTCAGCTTTGCTATTTCTTTTAACAGCCTGACATTGTCAGAATTGTCAGTAAAAATAAAATTGAGGTACAACATGGGGAAAATCTTAAAAAAGTAGTTTCGTCATTGAAAAAAGTGAAATTATATTTTGATAATTTTCACTGTGAAATTATCAAATATAATTTTCACGGATAAATCAGTAATCCACTGAAAAGCATAAAATAAATACTTAATAACCGAAAGGTTTGCCAGATACATTTGTATTTCATTAAATAAACATTTTTTTATCATTTTGTGTGGTCCGGTAAAGTGAATATTTTGTAATATCCCTGCATACTTTATTGCCAGTTATCTCATTAAATTTCAATAATGATGTATTTTTTAACTAGAACAAAAAGTAAAATACCTAAAACCAAAGGAACAAGAACAAATATCCATGATTTACTTGATAAAATATACAGTATAAGTTATTCCCCTTGAAAAAAATGTCACAGTTCTAATAACTGTAAGAATTCAGCAACAAACTTTAAAATGAAATAAAGTTTAAGATTATTCTAAAATCAATACAATTCAGGGGGTTATAGACCCTTTCATTTAAGACTGTATTCAAGTTGTCGCCCTTGGATGACGTCATTGGGGGATACGGTGGACAATGCCGATACGATTAAATTGAAATTGCCAAAATTTTGTGTAATTGAATAAGATATTATATAAAAAGGATGGTGAAATGAATAAAAATGTTTACTATAATAAGATTAACGATTTGTTTTAATAATAGACCATATTGCTGGGTAACTGATCATGATTACCATTTTCGTTAGATTCTTAATAATGAAAATTTTACCAGGCGGTTAAATCGTACTAACTTGCTAATTAATGTATCTATGTCTCTGCTAATATACAATACCCAAAAGATATTTTGAGTTTCAAAAATGTAAGGATTCTGTAGTTTCGAAACACGGCTGCGTAATAATTAATTGCAAGATACTGGTAACTTATAAAAAATCATTTTGATTTAAGCATTACTAAGACAAAAAAAACAACAACATAAATCTATGTAATTTCAAAAAAAAATAAAATGTAAAGGCATAAAAAGTAAAATTCTTTTGAATGTACTTGACTGTATACTATTTGTGTCTGCAAAAATGCACTCTCAAAAAATCGTACATCACACCAATATATTTAAGCTGGTAAAGTAATATTTTCATCTGGATATTTTTTAATTCATACTCGGCTTATCAAATATTAAAAAAAAAAAGAAAAAAAAAACAAGTTGTGAAACACGTTCACAGAAATTCGTTATTAACTGAATTATAATTTTACGTAATTTTGACTGTGCCAGTTGGTAGTAGGACTCTGGATCGAGTATCAAATCAGTAAGGCATGACCAATAAAGTCCCTAGGATGATCCATAACAAAATTCGGACCATAAATATTTTGACAACTAACAAAAGTGACGTAATCTGATGTAATGTTATAACTCTAAAAAATGCACCCTGGTGATTTATGATATCACAGCCAATTAAGTGCCTCTTGTATATACAACATATGCACCCTGTTAATTAATATGTTACGGCCCAGTGGCGCTTATATATATACACATCTTTTTATCTATGAAATAAGTAACTGGGAAAAGGTGTCTATTTTTATAATCATAAGAATAGATTTTTAATATCAAAATTATCTTAATATCTTCTGGTGCGAATCTAAAATTATAAAAGTCATTGCCAGATGGTTTTCCATCTTTCCGGAATATTTATAAAATTATATCCTTCACTGGTTCTTTGAAATATTTTTTATACGGCATAATGAAAAAGAATCAGTAAGTATTGGCAGAATGCATTCTGTTATTGTTCTATTAAAGCTTAGAAAACAATCATTTAAAGACATTGGCAATCTTATCACAAATATGCCGGAATTTACTAAATGACTGAAAATATCACAGAAAACTAGAAAATGACCATTTAAATTTATAATAGGCAATTTCAGTGTGTATGGGTGTTTATAAAATATAAAAATTTGATTTAGTTACTAGCTTCTTATCCTGGCATTAGAGCAAATCTAGATCTAATAAATTTATTCACTTAGAAATTTCGCTGTTTCACTCCATAGCGAGAATTAATCTCAATCTTTGTTTTTGTATTTTTTTCTATTGTCTTGATATTGAATTTATGTATGCATGCGTAAGTTTTACATGGTAGAATCATAATTGAACGATCAGTATTTACGTATTTAACTTTTCAATAAGCTAACATTCTATGCGGCCTGCATAGTTTTATCCCCCATTTACGTCACATCCGGTAAGGGAAGTAACTCTTCCCTGACTGTTATCGCTTAAATGAAAGGGTCTATTACACATATTGTAGCAATATTAAACCGCTTAAGTTACTCAGTGTAAAAACAGAAAACCACTAAACTATAAAAATTGCATTCCTTGCTCAGCTCACAAAATATTAAAAAAATCAACTTTATATAGATCTAATTATAAAACATTCAGGTGTAATGATATAGGCTTATGATAAAGAAAATATATTCATTTAAATTTTGTTATTACTAGATTATTACATGATATATACTTTTTTTAATGATGTATACTTGTGATTATGAAAATTAATTCATTTAAATTTTGTTATTAATAAATTATTACATCTAAAGTTATTTTAAAATTCTGATTTCTTTCTCATTTCTTAAACTCTTAATATTTTGTTAATTAGTTTCTTTTCTTTTTCCCCTTTAGCTCAATTGCAAACCCTCAAGTTCTGTCTAACAATTCAACACTTGTTTCACTCAATCTTATACCTCACACAGTCATTTAAATCAAGTGAAATAGAACATTTGTATTATACAATATTAAAATGTATAAAGCTATATATCTGCTGTAAAAATTGTATGAATTTTTAAAAAAGAATATTTTCAAAATGTTTGTATGAAGGAAAAATGGTAGTAAATAACCTTAAAAGCTAATGGTGCATGCACGAAATCATTGCAAAATGGAGAAAACCTTACTTAAAATAGTATAATATTTTATTCCAGACAATTTTATTCTGTTTACGTACAATATTTATGTGTGTTAAATAACAAGAGAAATTTTACATTTTTTTTCGAAAATCTACCATAAGATTATGGAACCAATAACTTTATTGTTAATAAATTCTATAAGGAATATTTCATAAGTATATAGCTTTATACCCTTTAAGTTACATAAGAAGTTTAAAGTTTTAAAATAATATAACATTTATTTCCATGACATTATAAAGCATTAGATATAAACTTCAGTCCCAAGAGAGCTTCAAACAAATAATATTATTCTCCCACATGAAGTTTACCATCTGAGGCTTTAAAGGTTATACAGCTATATTTAATGAAATATTATTTAAACAATTATTAACAGTAAAACTATATTGTTTTTCCATTACTTTATAGTTGGGTCTCAAAAGAGTTATAACATAGAAAATGTTTCTGTTATTTAACATACATGAATTTTGTAAATAAACAGAATAATATCATAATGTACTGGAACAAATCATTATTTTGATTTTACGTTGAGTTATATCTATTTTGCAATGATTTCATGTAAATGCCATTTGCTTTTAAGGCTATTTACTAAAGTACTTCTTTTATACAAGGATTTTGGAAGTATTCTATTTTAAAATTCAAGCAATAATTTTTGCAGTAGATATATAGCTTGATATACTTTCAAGTACCGGTATATACAACAGTCTCAGTTACAATATGATACAAGAAAAGCATTGATGCAAAGCATCAAAGGGCGTCCAAGCAAGAAATGCAGCAAGTGAAGATGAACTAGTACACATATGATGACAAGATATTCTTATAAACTACCAGAAATGTATACCACTTATGAATGAGCGGACGAAAGACATTGTTCATTATGAACTTTGATTGGCATGCTAGAGATTAGAATATTACTTGTTATTTCTTTATGATCGTGGTTATTAATAGCAACGGATATACATGTATGCCAATCATTTATAATCCATATGTGTAACGCATGATCAACACGTACCACACATTTGTCCCTTATTATGTACATGTTATCGCTATTAGCGAAAGACCCCCTTAAGGTATCTGTTCACACTTTAAGTTAGTAAAAATATGACACTGGTTATATTACCATGTTGATCATGTTGAGCATAATTGTTTATTATACAATAATTGTAATATCTATTAATTTTAATTTAAAAAAAATACAAATTTTATGAATATTGTTTTCTTTTATTCTTTTTTGTGTTTTATGTGCTATTTTATACTGAGTTTTTACTACTCTTTTTTTATTAAAATTGTAAAACAAATTTTAAGAATTCAATTGTCATATTGACCGACGATTATAAGTCAAAGCTTAACTGGAAAAAGTCAGTAAATTATGGTTTATCTTTCAATATATAATATTGTTTATTCTTAAACCATGTACATGTACATTGTATTTTTCTTTATCATTTTTTAAATTATCGATCAATTGAATAATTCATAAAATCTAATTTGTAACTTTGAATAATTCCTCGGCATCTTTACTAAACACGGATAACAAATTGAATAATTAAATAAAATGTTTCAAAGTTGATAATGTCATTTTAATACCATAAAAAATGTACCTTTTTCTCAATTATTGTACATATCACGGATTTATATTACATATAAATCCGTGTACATATTTATTTGTTTTTATCTCATATAGATAAAATGAAACATGCTATTGTTGTTTTTTTTCTAATTGTAACGATATCAAACATCTACTCCAAAATCGGGAGAGACCGGACAATAAACGTGTGGTACTATTCGCCGGTCACTAGTAAATCCTCCTGGTCAAAATAGACCGGGAGAGACCGGCATTTACCGATAGGAGTGATAAAAAGATATATCTATAAATAGGTTTTTGGAATATTTAGGTCATCAACTGATCATTCTAGGATACATGTACAACAACACATACCATGACATGATAACCGACTGTGTACTACAAAATGATAAATAAAAAACCCCGAAGAGCGCGATTTATTGACGGAAAAGGTTATTTCATTTGTAAATGTTTGCATTGCGAAAATTCATTGTAACATATCGCGACATTTCATTCTTATTTAATAATCAAGCACCCTCATACCGATCGGAATTTTCGGCTTTTATTATGACCGACTAAAAGGCTCGAGAAGTTGCTGTCGCCCTTTCACAAAATCTGATCTCATTCCATAAGAGCGCCGCGCTTCGGCGCGGACGCCAATTATGATAATCTTTTTTCAATGGGTTTTAAATTAAATCGCATCAACATAGTAGATGTCATATGGCAACTTTCCAACTATACTGAAGGAGGAAGACCTCAGGTGGCCTCTGAGCATTGTTTCAGGCATGAAACAGCACCTGAGTAGAACCTTTGATGCCTTGTAAGCTAGTTGGATAGTTGCCTCACATGAAAGAATCCAAAGTCCCAAGCGGGATTCCAACCAACAGCAGTAAGAGGCAAGTGATTTGAAGTCAACCACCTTAAACACTTGGTTAATGAAAAATTCAGAATGATATGAACGTCTCTCAGGAATAGGCTCATATACATATGCCATTAAATGACGCCAACTTATGCATGACGTTAGAGTACGTCACTTCCTATGTTTTGTACTATAAAATGTTTATAGTTTTGAATAGATGTATAAAGCAGACACAACGTGTTGTGCATTATTTTCCGTAGTATAGTACTCTATCCAATAATGTCTATGTAATTTAAAAAAATTTTTTCCCTTTCACTTTCCCGGGTACATCTCCACTGGAAAATCAGCTTAGACGATTTTTTATCTCTTTTTTTTAAACCTTTTCATCCACTGTAAACATCTCCAGAAATTTGTTTCTCTACTGTTTGGGAACCCCTTGATGGTTTCCCTCAAGAGTTTGATCTTCTCTCTAGCCTGTAACATTGACGGTAATTTATAACAGTTTTTTAATTCTCTCTGAAGAGCCACTTCACAATAAATAAATAACCTTTGATATAGTAATGTCTCTTAGCAGAAACCCATTGTTTTGTTCCCCCCCCCCCCATGAGTTTATTTAAAACCCATGACTTATTTGTGATTTCAAACATTACACGTTCTCTTCAATTGGATAAAGAATTTTATAATAAATTCATCAAGTAATGTTTAAATGAATAAAATGATATATAATAGTTATACTATAGACAGTATGTATGGAAATGCATTCTCAGTATAAGTTATTTACACATTTTACACATGGCTGTCATGTTAATCCTTCAAGGAACTGTACCATTGAGCACTGAACATTAATCAAGATACATGTATATGTATTGGCCAAAAATCAGACCTAAGTCACCACCACAGTAGCCCTTCCTGATAGCTACAACCACTGTGCTAATAAATCTCTGCAACAAGAACCAATAATTCCCTCTGAAAGTGCCAATAATTCCCTACAAAACCTGTAATTCAATATAATAAGAACCTATAATTCGCTACAATAAGCACCTGTAATTCCCTACAAATGGTGCCCTTAATTCCCTAAAATAAGCACTCATAATTCCCTACAATAGGCATCCATAACTACTCACTACAATAGGCACCCATAACTTCCTACAATAAGAGCCCTAAACTCCCTACAATAAGCAACCATTATTCCCTACAATAGTTGCTAATAATTCCCAACAATACATGTAGTTGCTATCAATGCCCTACAATAGTTGTTATTAATTCCCTACAATAGTTGCGATTAATTCCCTATAAGCACCCATTATTCCCTAAAAAAGCACCCATAATTCTCTACAACAGGCACTTTTATTCCCTACATATTCATTTTTCTTTGACAAATTCCCTTTTTTTGTGATTAAAATATGACTATAGAAATCATTACCTGTTTTTCTAAAGTCTCGAGCCTGTTAGTGTATTGTTCAGACTCAGTCCTGACTAGATCTGTAAGTATACTGTTCACAATCAACTCCTGTTTTAATTCTTCTATAGTTGCCCTATTTTCTGATGAATGCTCATTCAAATATGATTCCATATCCTGCAAAAAAACACAGAACAAAAAAAAACAAAATAATCCCAACTGTATTCAAATCACTAAGATAACTTCTACAACAATATCATTGCATGTTGCTGAAATTTTAGAAACAAGAACTTATACAAGAATTTATGTATAAAATCAATCCAAAATTTCCCATACCAGCTCACTGACTTTCAGCCAACAAACTGTCCACACTTGTTCATCAAAAACATACCAAAACATACAAAACTTAACATTTCAAAATGTTGCACAAATATAATCTTCATAAAATAAACAATAGCAGATATACTGGAAAATTTAATCCATTAAATTCCCTACTACATGTGTATGTTTCTAAATCAAGTTCTATGAAGCTTTATTGCATATAAAAACATCCCCGAAAATGAAATATTAATGAATTGTTTACATTCTAACCACAATTTAATTTATTTCTAATCTATTTTTATTGCTAGAAAATGCAAATTAACAAAATTTAGCAAGTTAAATTATATTTCACAACAACAATGGTTGAATAAAATTTGTAAACAAAGTAAATCTTACAAATTTAGAAAGTTATGCAATATGCACAAGATGTACATTATTTTCGTGATTGCCTTACTTGCAAACCACAATAATCTTCTAAATTTGTCTAATGGACTTGCTATGGTGTCCGTCATTGTTTATTTAAGGAAATTCAGAAAGCTATTTTTGAGTGTAACAGAAAATTTTGAACACCAAACCCTCCCTTACTAATGGAAAACACTTAACATTGTGACTTTATATTTTAAGTTATTTCTATAACTATAAAGTATTAGGGCACCCATATATTTTACCCTGGTACCCAAAGTTCCAACTTTACCCTGGTACCCAAAGTTCCAACTTTACCCTGGTATCAAAAGTTCCAACTTTACCCTGTTACCAAAAGTTCCAACATTACACTGTTACCCAAAGTTCCAACTTTACCCTGGTACCCAAAGTTCCAACTTTACCCTGGTATCCAAAGTTCCAACTTTACCCTGGTACCCAAAGTTCCAACCACAACTTTACACTGTTACCCTAAGTTCCAACTTTACCCTGGTACCCAAAGTTCCAACTTTACCCTGGTATCCAAGGTTCCAACTTTACCCTGGTACCCAAAGTTCCAACTTTACCCTGGCACAACTTTACCCTGGCACCCAAAATTCCAACTTTACCCTGGCACCCAGAGTTCCAACTTAACCCTGGTACCCAAAGTTCCAACTTAACCCTGGTACCCAAAGTTTCAACTTTACGCTGGTAACCAAAGTTTCAACTTTACTCTGGTACCCAAAGTTCAATGTCTACCCTGGAACCCAAAGTTCCAACTCTACCCTGGTACCCAAAGTTCCAACTTAACCCTGGTACCAAAAGTTTCAACTTTACGCTGGTGCCCAAAGTTTCAAACTTTACACTGAAACCCAAAGTTCCAAGTTTACCCTGGAACCCTAAGTTCCAACTTTACCCTGGTACCCAAAGTTCCAACTTAACCCTGGTACCAAAAAGTTCAACTTTACACTGGTACCAAAAGTTTCAACTTTACACTAGTACCCAAAGTTCCAAGTTTACCCTGGAACCCAAAGTTCTAACTTTACCCTGGAACCCAAAGTACCGACTTTACCCTAGTACATAATGTTCTAACATTTCTAGAACTGACTTCATGTGAACATTTTGTGATGGCAGCAATCTTACTTTGAACAGTTGTAAATACAAAATGTAAATTTTGCTTTCTTCAAAATTGAAAAGTTAAATATTTCAATAAATTTCACATCAAAGAAATTATTTACTTACTTTACTGGCAAATACATGATTATCTGTGCCAAGAATTTGAAGGATTTACAGAACTTTAAACGTTTTAAAACCAGCAAATTTTCTCATTACACTTTCATAATAAAATCCTCAAAACAATGACTATATTTTTTCCCCATATATTCCATACCAATAAAGCACACACAAAAATTACTGTGTATACATCAAACACTTAAATGACCTTGACCTTGAAATCAAAGTTTTGCCTAATTTAAGTTCACATGCACGTTTTAAATCCTGTCCTTGTCAAAACATTTAATTAACACACAAAAAACTTGTATATTCACATTTGAAAGTTTATGAAAATTTGTAAGTTAATCAAATCCTCCCCTCTAACTTATCAAAACATCCATCTTTGTACTTCTGCATTTTTTTTTGTGCCCAAAACCACAAAATTATTAAAATTTGTTTAATGCACGACTTTACCCGACATATCAAATAAAATATTTTATTTCACTGGTAACTAAAATATGTCCAGTACTCAGGATAGGAGAGAAATGGGGGTAGTGTTTGACCAGCTTAACTATACAGACACGTCCTTATATCATTGTAAATCAGAATTTAATACAGGTACTATCACTGAATTAAACATTATATCAAATTAACAAGTTTTCAATTGGTTTGTTTCGAACATAATTTGAGTTAATAAGACATTATCTATTGAAGTTGTTGACCTATTTACTGACAGAGGAACCCCTGCAAGTTCTTTCATATCAGTGGTTAAATACCAGGTAGGTTATATATAGGGCAAAACAAGGTCAAATCTTTATTCTTAAATCAGTCAAAATAAAAGATTATAACTAAATTACTGGGTAAATGCTTACATTAACTTATATTAAAACAGTCTGCTCCAGGGAAACACAGGTGGTCTCTTTAAACAGGTAATTATGCAATACAATTGATCAAAAGTTCAGCTTAAATGCTTGCTTTCAGCCCTTACATTTCTGAATTTATTTGTTGGCCATGCGTTTTGTAGTTTAAAGGAATTCAATATTCAAATACTCAGACTAGCCAGCAGGGGCATCATTGACTGAGTTGGTAATGTTGTTGACTTCAAACCTGCCCCTAACTGCTGTGCGTTATTTTTGTGTCCAGTCAAATTTCAAGGATGAACACTTAAACAGGTGAGCATAAAATGGATTTTTGGATTTGACTGTGCTCTTTAAACACAAATTTCACTTCAAATAATTTGTCTGCCTTTTTGTTTGTTTTGTTGCCGGTAAAGTTAACCATGCCTGTGTCTAGATGTCTTGCTGTATTTATATAGATATACTTACATCCATCTGTTCTGAGATGTCCTCAGCATCGGCACTGGAAGACACTGGTCGTCGTATTTTACTCTCTAGACGGTCCAGGTAGCGAGTTTCTTCATCTACAGCAGCTACAAACATAACATACAAACATTATTTATTTACAATACTTATATCTCTATACATGTCCTATGAGATTGACATTAATAAGGTTTCAGATTTTGATGGTAGAAGAAGACCCAAGTGTATACCTACCTATGTGTAATATAATATTTGTGCAATACAGCAATACAGTAGACAAGTCCATACACATGAGTAAATCAAATCTACATCAGCCTATTTTCTAACAGTCATAACGTAAACAAAGTACAGTAAGTACTGATTGACGTCAATTTTGGAATTTTGATTGATTATTTATCAATATTTTTCAGTTCTAAATCCCAGACCCATTTCTTTAGGGGTAAAATAGCTCAGAGTTTATTGCCTTCCAAAAATATAAAATTGAATTGCATAAAAGGCTATGTGTTAGATTTATAGCCTTCCAAAAAAACTATAAAATTGAATTGCATGTGATTATTATCTTAAGATTTGATGAGGGGATATATAATCAACAACTACTTCCTTTAAAGGTAGAGTATAAATTACACTTCTTGTTTGTATAGAGCAAGGTTAATGAGTAGATATCTTGTTATCTTGGTAACACAAATATGGCGTGGGCGGCACTTGTATTTTAAGAATGAAAAGCAGTTGAAAAAGCTTAAATACTTAACATTGTATAAATCTAGACCACCCAAACTAACAAATATTATCACAAGACTGATCTGTACACCAAGTTTTATTTTCTGAACTTCACCAAATATACAGCTAAATCACCTGTATATAGTTGATTTTTTTTGTTTAATTGAAGACATACAGCCACCATAATGACTCATTGCATAAAACAATGTTGGTATCAAATTTTTTTTATAATCAAGCAGGCTCAGTTTAGACATTCTATTAGTGACATCTGGTAAAGATCTGTTATACCACAATTAAGCAATTACATGGATAATCAGCCATTATGATGGAATATAAATACTTTGAAAATTAATTACAGCTTTATTGCAAGTTAATTTGCATAAACACTGTCTTTATTGAAGAGCTTATTAAAGATTGGGAGCAAATTATTTCAAAATGATAAATATAATAAACAATATACTTTGTATTATAGCTTGGGGACCTTTCTGTTGAAAAAACGTTTATGGGTCTTTTTTTTTCTTCAAAAAATTTTAAAAAATTTTTTTTATATTACAACATAAAAACCCAACAGTTGTAACTAGGAGTGCAAGTATTATTACCTGCACTCAGAGACATGTCACTTGATAGGCTTAATTTCTGATTACTTTTGTACGACAGAGAAAGGATAGCGATTAGAATACAATATTCAGATGCTGATTCATTTTTCCTTTTTCTGGAGGTTCAATTATTTGACAAAAGAGAATGTGGTTTAATTTTGCCTATGATACAAAGAGAAGAACATCAAAAACTCGGCAAATTCTGATTTATACAAAAAAACGGGGACTCCACTCATATCAAATCTGACTGCTTGTTTTTGATTGCTATTTATTACTATAAATCATTAAAAGACAGGTCAAAATTATCATTTTTTATACCTTTAAAATTGTTCACTTGGTCAGATGGTGACACAGTCTTCAACTAATGGTCAACTGTTGTATGTGTGTGTCCATAATGTATTCATACGCATCAACGACCTGGCCAGGTCCTGTAACGAACCTGACGGTGCCTTACTCAACATTTCATTGGTTGTCTCGTTCAACTTTGTTACCTCCGCATCTTTCTCTACCATCTCTAACTTCAAACTCTGAAATATCAATAAAAGAAATTATTTGTTTATAAAGGTACCACACGAATATCTTAGATACGGGAAAGCAGTTAAGTGAGGGTGGGATAGTGTTATATACATTAATATGGTTTTGGTTGGATGATGTTTTGTATTATCGATCGTTATTGCTTGGTCTGATCGTCTGTAGTGATAACCCTTGTAGTAGGTTATTAATGCAAGAGATCAAGTGTAAAGCTCTAGTCTTTGTATAACTTATCAATCTTTCTTCATTGTGTCACCTAGGTTATTGTCATAGTCTAACGGCAGACAATGAAATCAGTGATTAATTTAACATAGAAGAATTTATATTGTCAATCAATTTGAATGAGATTATCTTAGCTGGAGCAGCACACTTCTACTCATGCAACCGCGCCAGATAAAGAACGGCGATGACAGTATTTTGCTGTCTTTGTCTTATGGTCGCTTATGTTGCTATTCATTCAGTCATATTAAAAGTTTCCAATATAAGACAGAACCGAATTAAGACGTCAAGTCCATTCAAGATATTAAGCATTATAAGAGTTTCCATAAACAAAAATTTAATGATCAATATGAAAAAGCATTGAAAGCAACATATATTTGCTGAAAACAGTATGTTCTGATAAAGAAACATCATAAACATGTATTAACAAAAGTTTATTACCTTAAATTTTTTATTCTTCATCTGTAACTCGTTCAAAGTTTCCACAGAATAATCCTTATGAGAAATATCCTCTTTTATAGGCTCAAGCCATTTAATCACTGCCTTAATCTCATTATATATTTCTTCACTAGAATCTAGCGAGCCTTTTAATCTCGCATGCTGCTGCTGCGCTAGTTCTAACACTTTATTCCAATGAGAATTTAACTCTTCAACTTCTTTCGTTAATTTAGCACCGAAAGTTGGGTCAGTATTCACTGACATGCTCCTGTACAAGTGGTTAATGTTATCCATGTTGTTCTGTAATGTTTTTATATCATTCTGAGCCTCAGTACTCTCGTTAAGCTGGGCTTGTAACGTTGGAAGGTCGCCCTTTGTCGGGTCCTCCGCATGGAGAAATATGTCCATCTCTCTCATCCACGTCATTAAACCCTCTCTCTGTGTCTGAAAGAATAAATAATCATGATTTTATAGTCATGAAATTTTACAAAATATGATATTAAAAATACATCATACATGTATATAAAAGTTTGCATGTATATAGTCATGAAAGTAAACAGAAAACATTGACAAATCATCACATTATTATCTGTCTATGTCAAGTTATTCTATAGAGTAACTGACACATCAAGAAAACCAACTTGTACCACAAATTACACCTGATCTAAGTGCATGTATATTGAATACATTCAAATTGAATGCCTGAAATAGCATATAGGAAGTATTTAATAGTTCTAATCATACTTAACAGTACAGAACTATAACCACTGTGCCCTGAAGACTGCCGAACATATTACCAAATCAATAACTAAAACATAAAACATAATTCATAGAAATGCTAGAGTGCCACTACCACAATCCGGATAAGAAAGGTAAGGAACATACCTCATATTCCTTTAACTGTTCACATGCTGTCTCTAACTCATTTATTCTTGTTTCCATGGCAGCAGATACACTGTTCCATTTCTTTGTTACTATTTTTAGATCAGCTTCTAACTTCTCTGCTTTCTCTGTAGAGGGCGCTTTCAAGATGAGGTCATTTCCTGTTTTGCTGATGTAATCTCGACTGGTTCTCTGTTCACGAAGATCTTCCCCTAAAGTCTGTAATAATAATTTATTTTTAGAGCAAATTAGTTTTTATAAGAGCAAAAAAAGTTTTACAATATAAACAAACATTATTTCTTTTTAAGTATCATTTAAGTGTTTCTCCTGTCCAAGCTCTGCATCGAGCCCTGTCCTGTTTTTGTTTGGAGTCCTCCTGGGCTCCTTGCCATTAGTTCTTGTTACTTTGTCGTGGGGGTTGCGTTCATTGAACGTCCCCTTTCCTTGTTGATCTTGTTTACCATATTTGACCAAAGTAAAGATTTCCACTATATTTTACCTCTGTATAGCAACACCTCTAAGCATCAACCAAATTATTTCCGAACGGTTTAAGTTTTGGTTTTAAGTTTATACTAATTTATTTTAGTTCCATTATGTTGGAAGCTTTAAGCTTATTACAACACTATCAAATTTGTTCCTGGAATTTACCAGTACTAAACAACGAGTGTAAAGTTTCTTGCTCAAGGAAACAATAGCTTGTTCCTGGCGGGGTTTGAACTTTCACAGTCAGCAATCCTTAAATTTCTAGTTGGATATGTTAACCACTGAGCCACGCCTCTTCCAAGGTTTTACTGTACATTCACAACTAATAAGTTAATAAATTCACTCACCTTAAACTGTTTTAATTGTTTTTCCATGACAGCAAGTTCTTTGATACAGAATTTCTCGGAGACCAAAACTTCTTCATTATTATGTAACCATCTGAGCAACGCCTCTCTGGCCTCGAGGTAAGCCTTAGGTGGCGCCCTCTCTAGGGCATCGGTCAACTTTCTCTGACGCTCACCTGAAAGGAGATATCATACAATAAAACACCTGTCTTTATATACAATTATTGTAATTAATCTGAATTATTTAATGCAATATTGAACAAAGTTTTAATGAAATGACCTGCAGCATTTTAAAACATCAAACAAAGGAGGAAATTAAGTAATAATGTTAAAGACAATAAACCTTCAATTAGTTTAACTTAAATCTATACAGTGTATATAAGTCACCAAATTAATATACATTGTGGTTTTTGTCAATTTAATTTTCTGGATAGTTTTCAATTAAATTTCATAATGATCTTGACATCAGTCCTATAAAATAAGCCACTCCTTGCTACTTACATATGACCGCAGAACAGTTATTATATATAAAACTGCAGAATTTTGTACCAGACAGACATGTGAACACTAAGTAACACATATTCTTGTTTTCTTATATTAGAGTACTTTCATTACAGATATTCAGAGATTGTAACAATTTTTATAATCTTATCATGTAATTTATAGCATATAAACAATGTTAGTGATACTGTTACAGTGTGATGTAATTATAACATGCAACAATGACCAACTTAAATATTACAATACAACAATCCAACATGCACTCACTATTCTTCTCTCTATTATTTATAAATCAATGACTTTTTTCTCATACAAAAATTATTGCACTGTCTTAAAGAACAAATATTTCACTGCTACAAAATCTTAATTTACAAAATCTGAATAACTTAATTTATAAATGTTCCTATTAATATATTTGTTGTTGATGCACCAACAAAGTATAGGTCATATGGCGACTTTCCAACTTTGCAGGTGGAGGAAGACCTCAGATTCCCTTCCTTGCATGAACAAGCACCTCAACCACTGACGTTCCATAAGCTAGCTGGATGTCTCCTTCTCATAAAAGAGTCCAGAGTCCCTTTTGAGATTCAAACCTACAGTCATGAGGGGGCAAGTGGTTTAAAGTCAATGCCCTTAACAACTCAGCCATGGACGCCCAGTCTATTAATATTAATCATCCTTAGTATTTTTCCCTGATGAAATGAATGCATTGTACATAATTAATTTATATTTGTACTGGATAAAGGCTTATTTGCAATATTATTTCATTCATATTATCTACTCAATTAACAAAAACTTGTTCTACAAGAAAATTGAGTCACTATAATTATATATTACTGGCAGACATTCACCTCATTTATATGATCAATTATGTTACTAATGCTATATATTGTAAAATCCATCCCCATCCTCCCTAAAATTATATGTTGTATAACAAACATTGTGACAATAAGGATATTTTACATGTATATATAGCATTGATCATAATTGACCAGTCACATGAGCTGAATGTCTGTGGGGGAATGCTCAGAAACCTCTCATCTACAATTATCTACAAAATTACCAGAAGAACATGCAACATTAAAACTTTACTTAAATTTCTTTAATTCTGAATTATAGTTTATTATTTGTTGAGCATACTGGGCCTTAACTTCATTATATCAAGTCCTGTAAACAATAGGCAGATTCATACAACAATAAACAGAATTGACTGAAAAAAGCGAACATCTAAGCTTTTATTTTTATATACATGGACTGGCAAGCCTGAGGTAATGCAGGGGAGTTTTGGATAAAACAACAGGTAAATTTGGAAATTAAGATATAACTGTATCTAAGTAATGGGTATGTGTATTGGGGATAACTTATGGTATTTAAAAAAGAACTGGCGGTAATTCATTCTTTTTTTTTCGGACAAAACTGAAAATTAATCAATTTATATTAAACAACTATTGTATGTGGTGTTTTGTAAATCATTATATTATTTATTATATATTGTTAATCAAGGTGAACTCTGTAACAGGTAAATGGGGGTTAATTGTTACAAAATGCATCAAACTTATTACACTGGTGTTACAATATATATAGTTACAATACATGTAATCAAGTTTAGTGTGGATCTACTCACTCTCGTCTGTATCTGTAGAAGTAGGCCATGCAGCAAAATTATTATAACAAAACCATGAAAATAAATTGAGCCGCGTCACGACAAAACCAACATAGTGCATTTGCGACCAGCATGGATCCAGACCAGCCTGCGCATCCACGCAGTCTGATCAGGATCCATGCTGTTCGCTTACAAACCCTATTACAAGTAGAGAAACTGAAAGCGAACAGCATGGATCCTGATCAGACTGCGCGGATGTGCAGGCTGGTCTGGATCCATGCTGGTCGCAAACGCATTACGTTGGTTTTGTCATGGCGCGGCTCAATTATTATTGTATATTTGTTCACAGAAAAAAAAAAGGACAGTTAATACAACACATGGTAAACAGCCTGTAATGTTGCTCATAGCAATAGTTTAACTTTAAGCAGCATTTCAAAATAAAACATTTTTAGTTTATGGAGTTGAAAACATTAGTAATTACGGTATTCAATCAGGTAGGCTTAAGGCATCACATCACTATTGAATTTCACAATAAGGTTGTACACTCCTATTGGAATTCTGCATAAGGTATTACACACCTAAATCATAATAAGGTATAACACTCCTATTTATAATTGGCAATCTCTGTTTATTAATATGTAACACTTCCATTCAAGCAATAAACATGGACAAGTGGGTCTGTGCAAAAATTTAACAACAAATTTTCAAGAAAAGCCAAATTCTTTGAAAGAACTATTTTTCATAAAAAATTGCATGTCTGCCAGTTAAGCATCCATTAATAATTAGCATTTCTGACATGAAATACTTGTTAAAATACCATAAAAAGAGGATGACTTTTTTTTTATTATCAATTCTTTGCGAGTATTAGCTTTTTGCAACAAAAAAGGCTTAAGATAAAAATAAAGTCTTAAAACAATTTCAAATAAAACTAAAAAGAAAATACTTGTGTACTTATTAGCATTTGTTATTCTGCAGTAGTAAAAGCACAAAACATATAATGTATATATGTGCATAATAAGAAGTCAAATGTACAGCCATTGAAAAATTAATGCCTTAAGTCAAAACATAACAAACTGTATTATCATTCCTTCAATGAAATTAATTCTTTGAATGCGATATAGTCAGTACATGAATGAGATAGTTATAAAATGATTCACAAAAAAGTATACAATATAATAAATATAACAATATAATCAAGCCTCACATTGTCCCTTTGCTGGAAAATTAAACAGAAAAGATGGCACAATGCATCTGTCCACATTTTAAGAAGGGTATGGGGAACAAAAAACCACTCGGATTGGTAAGGCTGGCATATTTTATCATGTTATACAAGAGAATTTGTTAAAAAATCAAATAATTCAAATAAATCAAATGAAAAATATTGTTAAAATAGTTGTCGGGTCAAGCTAGCAAGGTAATATAGATAACATACCTATTTTCTGGAAGGTAGTTTTCCATCTCTCATTGAAAGCATCAAAATCTTGTTGAAATTTAGCATCATTTGTCTCCCTTGATAACGTCTCGGCTTGATTGGATAATTTCTCCACCCTGTCAGCCTGAGTCTTCATGGCTTTCTGCTTTATCTGTCAATATAATCACAAGAGTATTTAAAGCAGTATGCCTCCAGATTCATGGTTATTGTAGTGAACATTTTTAAAAAATGTATTAAACAGTAAAATATTGTCAAATGAACAAAGAAAGTAATCTACACATTGCAACTACACTTGAAATATACAAAAACTGCCTTAAAACAGGTCAGAATATGCAAAAAATCCCTTGCTGTGTTACAATTATGGTGATAAATATTGCAAAAACAGTAATTATTTGCATATTTACATTTCTTAAAATCATAGTACATTTTTTTCAAGATTGATTTTCTTAAAATATTTTGGCACATCTGGAGGCATGCAGCTTTAAGTTTAGAAAGCAAAGGTTTAACATGATTATAGGCAAACAATATTATATGCATGTATTTTCAAAATACATGGAGCAGATTGAACAACCTGCAGCACTGATTGGGAAACTGAACACAAGACCTCTAACTGTAAAGGAGAACACTGTACCACACCAAAAAAAGAGCCATAAAGCAGATATTATAAGCATTTTAATGTCAGCTGTAACATAGACAATAAACCCTGTAACTTTTTTTTTTATCTAAATTTGATTTTTACTTTTTTTAGATATGAATGAGATTAGCACAGAGAATGGCAGCCTAACAGACAGATGAGGGTAAATTATAAATCCCCTTGAGTCGAAGATCAATATCAGATCTAATAAACAAACTTCAAAAGAGCAAACTATAACAAGAGCTGTCGGTAGGACAGCAACGCTTGACTATTCTTAGTGCTTGATAGTAAAAGAAATGCTTGATAGAGTTACCTCCTCCTGTTTACAGGTTGGGGTCATGATGGTTAACAAGTGTGCAAAGTTTCAAAGCCATATGTCAATGGACTTTGAAAATATTTTAACTATTACAAAAACTTTAACGTAAATTCTAAGTCGAAAAAGGGGCATAATTCTGTCAACCTCCTGTCTACAGGTTGGGGTCATGATGGTGAACAAGTGTGCAAAGTTTCAAAGCCATATGTCAATGGACTTTGAAAATATTTGAACTATTACACAAAAACTTTAACATAAATTCTAAGTCGAAAAAGGGGCATAATTCTGTCAAAATGCTTGATAGAGTTACCTCCTCCTGTCTACAGGTTGGGGTCATGATGGTGAACAAGTGTGCAAAGTTTCAAAGCCATATGTCAATGGACTTTGAAAATATTTGAACTATTACAAAAACTTTAACATAAATTCTAAGTCGAAAAAGGGGCATAATTCTGTCAAAATGCTTGATAGAGTTACCTCCTCCTGTCTACAGGTTGGGGTCATGATGGTGAACAAGTGTGCAAAGTTTCAAAGCCATATGTCAATGGACTTTGAAAATATTTGAAGTATTACAAAAACTTTAACGTAAATTCTAAGTCGAAAAAGGGGCATAATTCTGTCAAAATGCTTGATAGAGCTACCTCCTCCTGTTTACAGGTTGGGGTCATGATGGTGAACAAGTGTGCAAAGTTTCAAAGCCATATGTCAATTGACTTTGAATATATTTGAACTATTACAAAAACTTTAACAAAAATGGTTACGCCGACGCCGACGCAGACGCTCGGGTGACTACAATAGCTCTACTTATTCTTATCGAATAGTCGAGCTAAAAATGTAACAAAAAAAAACTTTCAACCACAAGTTACATATATAGGAAAATGAGATGTGAACTGATCTTTAAAATAACTAATTGATGTACACCCTTCCTAGGAAATTTCACATTTTCAAATATAAAAAACTTAATAAAAACATGCTTTTTCATAAACAGCTCTTTAACAATCCTTCAAAATAACAAAAGTGCTATTTGGAACAATGCCTTCTAAGCTTTCAAAATAAATCAAACATTTAGCAAACAATGCCCACAACAGCACATTTTCTAGCTATATAACTGTCATGATCTTTCTTTATCAAACAACAAAAAACTACAGACTTTATGTCTGTGATGTCGTAAAAGTTTGTGCAGAAGAAAATAGTAATACTGTGAGAGTTTTTGTTTCTTAAATTCTGTTCAACAAACATTTTATCAGCTGACAAAATTATTTTGGAATGGTTTAAGACATTCTGCTGCCTAGTTTAGGAAAATTCTTGAAACAAATGGAAACATTCAGGGTGCATAAATAACTAAAATGTATTAAAATAAACAGAAATGTTTGGATATACATGTACAGCTCAGTGCTGTGGTGACACTGGCTTGAAAATATATTGGAAAAAAATGAAGAAAAGATAAAAGCAATTAAATCTTACTTTAGACTGCTCCACTTGTTTATTTATATCCACAGCATCCTCAGCTATAATTTCTGCGGAACCAACCCACTTTTCATAAGTTCCAACTAAGTCTTTTAATGAATTTAATTCATCATAGAATTTTTTAGATTTCACATTAAATTCCACTTTTTGTTTTGTTTCACTTAACATTTTCTGTAAAGATTCCCAACGTTTCTCTAAATTGTTTGTAGACTTTGTAATATTTTCATAAGGTTCACCATCTGCAATACAGAACAAGCAACATGTGATAAATTCAAATAATTATAATGAAACAAGTTCTCCAGTTTAAGTTTAACTGGCTAGAAAATGAAAACCAAGCTTCACAAATCATCATACTTATTGAATGAATTAATTGGCAGAAGTTAAAAATGACAAAAAAAAAAAAACAAAAACAAAACTTTAAAACCCTGAATTTAGCATTTTTTCATTTTTCTCCAATAGTAAAAGCCACATTTTAGTATTAAAAAACAAATTCAGAAAAATGTCTTAAAACTTTGACCCATGCAATAAGTGTAGTTATACATGAGAAACATGACATTTTAAATTGTTAAAATAATATAATAATGGCATTCTTATGATTTTACATTTTAATATTTGTACTATTTCAAATGGCATTTAGCAAAAAAGAATAATGATATAATAGTCATATGGTCACTATCCAGTCTTATTGAGACATGATGATACCCCTGCTTGAGCAGAAAGTGATAAGCCTTTGCCACCAGTATAGAGCCAAGCTAGTCTACACTTCCATGTAATCTCAGTAGGCTCTACACTATTGACTGACAAACATTAAATTTTGGACTTAATATCCCTAAATTGAAAACTGAAAGTTCCAAAATGGATGCTTGAAAAGTCCATTTAAGAAATTCAGCAAGTTAAGCCAGCCCGCATAGCTCAATCAATGTAATCTCGACATCGTGGGTTCAATTCCCAGGTTGGCCAACTAAAATTACTAATCAGTCTTTCGGATGAGACTTTAAATCGAAGTCCCGTGTACGAGTGCTTTAACACTTGGCACGTTAAAGAACCAGTAGAAGCTTCTAGAATTGGGGCATCTCTCTGTATCTGTATCTTGCACTATCCTCCAATATATAAATTTACTAATACTCTTCTGGAGGTATCGCTTAATCAGGCAACAAGTGGCTAGTATATATAAACTCAAATACAAACACACAGCCAGCATATTAAGTGATCAAAAGCAGTCTGCTGGTTACTAACCTTGCCTAAGTTCACTAGACAATGTCTGACCTAGTGCTATCAATCTTTGAATGGTACTAGACTGGCCGTCTACCTCATTCTCACTGTCCTGAAATATTATATTAACATCTGTAAATCAGTCTGGAAATATATTGTAATATAATATTCTGTGTTAATGTTCAATGTTATAAAACAAATCAAGTGGATAACACAAATAAAACTAATATTCTTATTCCAACATTGTCTACAAGTGTATATGTACAATTAACAATGTCAAAGCAATTGCTTATTCAATATATAATCAATTAGCAAGTCAAGGTTGGTTTTGTCATACATCATAGATATGTCTGTCACATATTTTGTTTGTTTGTTTGTTTCATTTTACGCCTTTTCCTAACAGTATTTCAGTCATATAGGCGGGTAGTTTCCTAACCATCATTCCTGGAGAGTTACACCAGTACTAGACTACCTTCCTCCGCGCTAAACTACCAAAGCATCTCCCCGGGATCGAACCCACTGTCACACATGTCTATCTGAGATAACTAACTAACCTCTATAAGAATGAGATATCTGTCACACATGTCTACCTGAGATAATAAACTAACCTCTATAAGAATGAGATATCTGTCACACATGTCTACCTGATATAATGAACTAACCTCTATAAGAATGAGATATCTGTCACATGTCTATCTGAGATAACTAACTAACCTCTATAAGAATGAGATATCTGTCACACATGTCTACCTGAGATAATAAACTAACCTCTATAAGAATGAGATATCTGTCACATGTCTATCTGAGATAATGAACTAACCTCTATAAGAATGAGATATCTGTCACACATGTCTATCTGAGATAACTAACTAACCTCTATAAGAATGAGATATCTGTCACACATGTCTACCTGAGATAATAAACTAACCTCTATAAGAATGAGATATCTGTCACACATGTCTACCTGATATAATGAACTAACCTCTATAAGAATGAGATATCTGTCACATGTCTATCTGAGATAACTAACTAACCTCTATAAGAATGAGATATCTGTCACACATGTCTACCTGAGATAATAAACTAACCTCTATAAGAATGAGATATCTGTCACATGTCTATCTGAGATAATGAACTAACCTCTATAAGAATGAGATATCTGTCACACATGTCTATCTGAGATAACTAACTAACCTCTATAAGAATGAGATATCTGTCACACATGTCTACCTGAGATAATAAACTAACCTCTATAAGAATGAGATATCTGTCACATGTCTATCTGAGATAATGAACTAACCTCTATAAGAACACATTGTTCCTCGGTTGTAAAGGAATCTTGATCCTCATCTCCAGCTAGAAGTTCTAAACCTGACTCAACCCTCTCAAACCATTCATCTAACTTCTTAATGTCTTGTTCAAACTCGAACTTAACACTAGAGTCCACCTTGCGTTTTTTGGCCCCCGCAGGTGCAGTACTCCTCAGCTTAGCCTCTGCTGACACTTCTATAGGTTCCTCGGAGATTTCTGGAATCTCAGCAAGTTCTAGTCCGAGACTTACAATCTGAAGTAGTCAGGATTTAGAAATTGTGAAAGTAAACTCATACATGCATTCTAAAACAGTTCCAAATATTTACACAATTTCACTCTCTAATACATAATATACAATATGGCCATTTTTTTTATTCATGATGATTTCAACAACAAATTATCTCCAACATTTATTTACACGTTTTTTGTGTGTTATTTTCCAATTTTTAATTATTTCTATTTATTTTCATCTTTTTATAAAACTTTGCAAAGATCTTCCTAAAGGAGAAATAATAATAAAGCATAAAAATAAATATCTGATATGCTATTGCTAATATTTACTTTATAAACCAAAAGAGAGAAGTTTCTAACTGGCTGTAATTTTTCACAATTTCTGTTTCTACGTGATTCATGGTTTAAATGCATTTTTTTATTAAGGTAGCAAACTCAAAACGTTAATTTACTTGTGTTCAACCACTTTGCAAGTTAATAAATTACACCTCAATTTCACCCTTGACACAATTAAAATACCTTTTTACTCTGTGTCTCCATGTTTTCAACCAAATTTTTCCATCTGTCTTGGAAAGCTTCAAGATCTGTCGAAATTTTCTTGACAGCTTCATCATTGTTTACACACTGTACGATTTGTTGTCCTAACTCATACAGGTCCTCAAACTTCTGTACCTGTACAACCATGTCTCTTTCTATCACCTGTAATATACATTTATAATGTACATCAATGTTCTATATTTATTAGTTTGTTTGATTGGGTTTTACGTTGCACCAACACAGTATAGGTCATATGGCAACGTTCCAGCTTTACTGGTGGAGGTAGACCTCGGGTGCCCTTCCTTGCATTATTTAAGGTACGAACGGGCACCTGAGTAGAACCACCGACGTACCATAAGCTAACCGGATAGCTTCTTCACATGAAAGAATCCAAAGTCTCTGCCAGGATTTGAACCCAAAGGGGTGAGGGGCAAATGGTTTGAAGTTTCTATATTTGTGTAAATAAATCTATGTAAAGTTGGCACCAGTGAAACAAAAGGACAACATCTCTTGAAGTTTGTTATTTTATTATTTGGAGGAGTCCCTGCTGATTTAGACACCCCTAGCTTTTAAAATAAATTTATGATACTGCTAATTCAAAATTGAACAAGATTGCATTTGAGAAAAATGCTATGCCACCGCATGGTTCAAATTTCATAGCTGTACATCAATGGACAAGAAAGTAGGTCACATCATCAAAATCTAGGTTACCTGATAATTATCAAAGTTCAATTTTACAACTAAAACTGTGCACATGGTCAAAATGTCATTGCTGTACATCAAAGGACAAGAAAGTAGGTCACTGTCCCCTTGGGCCCAAGGGTTTAATTCAAAACAATTTTGATACAGGTCCACCAAACAACATTTCAAGTCAAATATCTAAGCTATAGCTTTCTCCCATTCAGAAAACATTTGTTTTATTTTCTGTTTTTACTATGTGTACATAATGAGAATAACTGCCCCCGGGCAGGGCCAATTTTGACACCAGGGGAAAATTTTGAACAACTTTGGTAGAGGACCTATAAATGATATTATATATCAAACATCAAAGCTCTATGCCTTGTACCTTCAGACAAAAATATTTTTTATTTTTTCACTATATGTACATAATGAAAATCAATGACCCCCGGGGCGGAACCAATTTTGACCCCAGGGCTATAATTTGAACAATCTTGCAAGAGGTTCACTACACAATGTTTCATGCAAAATATCTTAACTCTAGCCTTTGTAAATTTAGAGAAGATGATTTTTTAAGTTTTTACTATATACATATAAGGAAAACCTATGGCCACCGGGGGCGGGGCTAATTTTGACACAAGAGGCAAAATTTGAATAACTTTTGTACAGTACCTTTAGATGATATTATTTAACAAATATTAAAGCTCTAAGCCTTGTACCTTCAGACAATAAGATTTATTTATTTTTTACTATATGTATATATTGAAATCAATGACCCCAAGGGCGGGGGCAATTTTGACCCAAGGGCTATAATTTGAACAATCTTGCTAGAGGTTTACTACACAATGTTTCATGCAAAATATCTAACCTCTAGCATTTGTCAATTGCTAGAAGAATTTTTTTTGAAGTTTTTATTATAAGTTTTTACTATATGCATATAAGGAAAACCAATGACCTCCTGGGCGGGGCCGATTTTGACCCCATGGATATAATTTGAACAATCTGGGTAGAGGTCTACCAGACAATGCCTTATGCAATATATATAAGCTCTAGGCCTTTTGGGTCTTTACAAGAAGGTGTTTTAAGTTTTTACTATATGTACATATAGTGAAAATCAATGACCCCGGGGCGGGGCCGATTTTGACCCAAGGGCTATAATTTGAACAATCTTGGTAAGGGTCTACCAGACGATGCCTTATGCAAAATATCTAAGCTCTAGGCCTTTTGGGTTTTTACAAGAAGGTATTTTAAGTTTTCACTATATGTACATAGTGAAAATCAATGACCCCCGGGGCGGGGCTAATTTTGACCCCAGGTCTATAATTTGAACAATCTTGTTAGAGGTCTACCAGACAATGCCTTATGCAAAATATCTAAGCTCTAGGCCTTTTGGGTCTTTACAAGAAGATTTTTTAAATTTATTCTTATAATTCATTTTGGTTGTCATGGCAACCAGATTTCTGCATGGCATGAAATTCTTTGAACAACTTTGGAAGCCCTTCACCCAAGGAACAATCCTGCCAAGTTTGGTTGAAATTGGACTATTGGTTTTTCACAAGAAGATTTTTTAAGTTCAATATATAATATATATAACACACACACAAACACATACACACAGGTGAATCGCTATATGCCACCGCTTAAGTTCACTATATAATCTATATAACACACACACACAAACACACACACACATACACACAGGTGAATCGCTATATGCCACTGCATCGCAGATGCTGCGGTGGCATAATTTTTTAAGTTCACTATATAATCTATATAACACACACACAAACACACACACAAACACACACACACACAGGTGAATCGCTATATGCCACCGCATCGCAGATGCTGCGGTGGCATAAAAATATCATTTTTTTTAGATTCCACATCCAGTGCTTTATTAGTTTTTTATTATATGCATTTTTGTGTCAAAGTAATTTTTACATAACTTTACTCTATGAAGTTACTGCAAATTCTATTGACATTTATTTCAATGAGAAAGTATTCTAATGTGTAGATCCCCAATAATCAATCTCTTGATTTGTATTTGTTATTCTTTTTATAAAGAAACACAATATTATATTTACTTCTATTACCTTAAGTTCTTGTACTTGAGCAACTGCTACATTTGTATCTGACAAATCACTGGTCTTCATTTTCTCTATCATTGTTTCTCTACTAGACAGCCAATCAGCGAACTTGTCCTCATTCTCGGAGAAGCTCTGCCATTTGAGTAACACCTCCTGTAGGAGGAGCCACTGTTCCTCTGTCCAATGACAGATCGTTGCCCAACGTTTACCCAATGATTGCAGCTGTCTCTCCATGGCTTCACATGCTATATAAGGTCAAAGGTTACAATAAAATTCATTCATAAAAACAGACATGTATACCAGTCAATATCTTCATTCATAACCATTATAACATAAAATATGTTAAATGAACTTGTCCATCTTTCAATCTTGATGAAACCATTCATCATCTTTCGGTTGAAAAGCTAACTGAGTGTCGAATGAATTGCTTACAGTACAGACCATGATCTGAGGGCACTAATGTACCAGCTAAGGAAAAACTACAATTATTACTACAGACTAAAGTCTATGTAAAATTATTTTGCAAATCTGTTTTTCAAGACTTTGCATAATTATTGTAAAACCATTTTTAATGGACTCTAGAAATAACTTACTGAAACAATTTGCAGTAATCTTTTTTCTTCAGAGTTCTGAATGCAAAGCTTCAATAAATTTGAGCATTTATAAACTTTGTCAATCCAGGAATGTTCCAGTAAACATACATATACAACCAACTACATGTATTATACAAATGGCAACATTCAAATATGATATTTTGATACACAAAGAACCTACCAGATTCTGTATTATTATCGTCTACAACAACAACCATGTTTTGTAGACTGTCAACCTTTTTCTGTTGATGATCTAGCTCCTCCTGAAGCTTTTTATGATCTTCAATCTGTTGTTTAACCATGGACAAATCTGATCCAAGCTTCTTCTCTACACCGATTCTTTTCTCCATCCTTGTTAACCAGTCTGCTAGCTCATCCAGTTGTTGTTGTTGTAGTGACATCAATGTAGACTGAAGCCTGAAAATATAATACATAAGCAATTATAATGATCTAGATGAAAACAAACCTAAGTTTAGTGGTCATACTAATGATCAGATAATCTGATGCATCTAACAGTATGTGGAAAGCTCAACACCAAACTATCTTTTAATGTTTGTATAATAAAGTACACAGAATGTCAAGTTGGCAATGAATCATGTTCAGTCCAAAATGCAACATGAGCCCATGATGAGCCCTAAAAGACAGTGTGATATTAAGAGCTCCTAATGTGTTGGATCTCCTAGCAACATCAGATATGCTATTTCATGCCCTCCATATAACATGTTGAGCCCTCAATGTGCCATATTGTGCCCTCAATGCAACTTGATAAATCTTAACATGGATATTCAGCCCTCAATGCAATTTATTCAGCCTAAATGTGTCATGGAAAGTTCCAATTGGTACATGATGAATCTTCAATATGAATATCTAAAGTAACTGGTCCAAACTCCTAGAAACTATTATTGATGAACCACAAACTTCACTTTTTTTAAGACCAAAGAATTCCAATTATATACTGAAACTCAAAACTGATAAACACACATTATATTAAGTAATATCGATAGCAGAGTCTTATGGTGAGAGCTAATCTGTGAGTAAAAACAACATTTAATCATTACACAACATCTACAATCATAAAATATTCATATTTCTATAAAAAATTAATGACACCCCAGATCACTTAACTATGTTAATATTTCTCAGGAAAACAGTTTTTCTAACATTTTAAATGATTCTCCTACCTAATTTCCTATATTATACCTTAATTATAATTCTATATTTAGAATCATTAATCTGATAATTTCATCCCCACACCACTGCAATGGAATTGCTCTACCTTGAATTTGGAACAGTTCATTACTGTATCTGGGAAAATTGTTGTCTGCTAAGAAAGATGTCAGCCTTATTTTTTTTTATTTATCCAATTTTCACAAAAAATCAACAAATATTAAAGTATGACAGTCAAGAATTATGTTACCTGACTACACACTGAGGTACTTAGCATCTTGTCAGGTACCAAACTGCTGTACAAAACCTATTGTGATCTCTCTTATTAGACAAACTGTTTAACAGTTTTAATATCACAAAAAAACTTAATTTCATAAGCCAGCAGTGAAGAACTCTATTCTGGTTGCATCAGTCTCTTTTCACTGCTCCCTTTTCATCACCACTAGCACTCTAAGAGTTAAATTTCTTAAACAGTATTGTAACCTCTGTAGAACAACATCCTATGGGAGATATAGATTGTGGTTGCTTCCCAAAAGGTGTTGCTGTGGAGAGGTGTTGCTGTGGAGAGGTGTTGTTGTGGAGAGGTGTTGTTGTGGAGAGGTGTTGTTGTGGAGAGGTGTTGCTGTGGAGGTGTTGCTGTGGAGAGGTGTTGTTGTGGAGAGGTGTTGCTGTGGAGAGGTGTTGTTGTGGAGAGGTGTTGTTGTGGAGAGGTGTTGCTGTGCAGAGGTGTTGCTGTGCAGAGGTGTTGCTGTGCAGAGGTGTTGCTTGTGCAGAGGTGTTGTTGTGGAGAGGTGTTGTTGTGGAGAGGTGTTGTTGTGGGGGTGTTGCTGTGGAGAGGTGTTGTTCTGCAGAGATGTTGTTGTGGAGAGGTGTTGCTGTGGAGAGGTGTTGCTGTATAGAGGTGTTGCTGTGGAGAGTTGTTGTTGTGGAGAGGTGTTGCTGTGGAGAGGTGTTGTTGTGGAGAGGTGTTGCTGTGGAGAGGTGTTGTTGTGGAGAGGTGTTGCTGTGGAGGTGTTGCTGTGGAGAGGTGTTATTGTGGAGAGGTGTTGTTGTGGAGGTGTTGCTGTGGAGAGGTGTTATTGTGGAGAGGTGTTGTTGTGGAGAGGTTTTGTTGTGGAGAGGTGATGCTGTGGAGAGGTGTTGTTTTGGAGAGGTGTTGTTGTGGAGAGGTGTTGCTGTAGAGAGGTTTTGTTGTGGAGAGGTGTTGCTGTGGAGAGGTGTTGCTGTGGAGAGGTGTTGCTGTGGAGAGGTGTTGCTGTGGAGAGGTGTTGCTGTGGAGAGGTGTTGTTGTGGAGAGGTGATGCTGTGGAGAGGTGTTGTTGTGGAGAGGTGTTGTTGCGGAGAGGTGTTGCTGTAGAGAGGTGTTGCTGTGGAGAGGTGTTGTTGTGGAGAGGTGTTGTTGTGGAGAGGTGTTGTTGTGGAGAGGTGTTGTTGTGGAGAGGTGTTGCTGTAGAGAGGTTTTGCTGTGAAGAGGTGTTGTTGTGGAGAGGTGTTGCTGTGGAGGTGTTGCTGTGGAGAGGTGTTATTGTGGAGAGGTGTTGCTGTGGAGAGGTTTTGTTGTGGAGAGGTGATGCTGTGGAGAGGTGTTGTTGTGGAGAGGTGATGCTGTGGAGAGGTGTTGCTGTGGAGAGGTGTTGCTGTGGAGAGGTGTTGCTGTGGAGAGGTGTTGTTGTGGAGAGGTGTTGCTGTGCAGAGGTGTTGTTGTGCAGAGGTGTTGCTGTGGAGGTGTTGCTGTGGCGAGGTGTTGCTGTGGAGAGGTGTTGCTGTGGAGAGGTGTTGCTGTGGAGAGGTGTTGTTCTGGAGAGGTGTTGTTCTGGAGAGGTAAAATTTGTTGTGAATGTTTACTTGGTAAGAAATATTACTGTTGTAAAGAGAGTAATTGCTCTGCACAGATTATAAGAATCTTACTCCGGCTGCCGGTACAGACCGGAATATCTAGCGCGAGGGTAACTGTTTACGGCGGAAATGAGCCTCTGCCGAGTTTCCGCTAAACAGTTACCCGAGAACTAGATATTCCTATCTGTACCGACAGCCAGTGTTTGATTCTTTTTCTTGCATATTACTTATCAATTATTTTCAGAACAGAAATTACGAAAACTGATATTTTCATTAAACACTTTTTTATTATAGTAGCGAACTTACAAACTTCATTCAAAATGGTAAAATGACGTGATCCTTAGAACGCAATTCATTCATGAAAGGTACGCGGCAATGACATCATTTAAAGCACGCGACTTGTCTTACATGGGGGTGTAAGACAGAGTTTTCTAGCACTGGTGTAAAGGGTAGATAATCCTGTCTGATATGCAAAAAATTATTGTACATGTATCTGACCTAAAACTTGTCTTTCACTTGTTTCTCAATAAAAACTTTCCCTTAAAATAATATTTCAGGTACATTACACCCATTAGCTATAACATATATTTTCAGTAGACAATTTAAAATGCTCCCTGGATTAGTTCACAGAAGCAGACATCAACTTGCTAATTGTAAAATAATTATCTCTAATTGTGTTAACACCTGTTATACATTAAGGTGGAACTTTCTTTATCATTCAAGCAAAAACCAGCTAACTTCAATTATTGCTGATATGTTTTTATTCCTGTCCTTATCATTCAACTTAGTTTTATGGTTTTCTTTTTTTTTGGTAAGGTGAAAAAATCATAGCTTAAAAACTTTGATAAATTTATTATAATTACATTTCAATTAAGTGGAAACAAATCATTTAATTAAATTTTTTGTACTCTTTCTATTCAAACTGGAATCATAAACTCGTGGAATTGGCTTATAGATTAATGTAAAAACATAAAGTATACTACAAATAGCTGTATCAGTACTGTTTCAGCCCTACCCTTAGAATTGAAGCTTAGGCAAATGATGTTTTATCTTTCAACATGAATCTTCTCATTTATTGTAAGATTATTGTTTTAAAATCTTATTGATTTTGTTAAAGATCTCTTATAACATGAAAGTTAAAATTATTATACAATTTTTAACCATACCCATCACTGCTAAAGTCATGAGGAAAATACTTGGTATCTCGGTTAAAAATGACTAATTTTCTTCTGTAAGCTTGTTGGATTGATAATCCTATATGACAAAACATGGCCTACATTTTACTCAATAATATGCTACTTGTATCTTAGCAAATATAAACTAGCCAATCAGAAAACAGCTTACTTGCTCTGTCTGTCAAGGGCTTTAAGACGTAGCTCCTCCCAGCGGTTATTAAGGAGCCCCATTTGGACACGTATTTCATTCTCTTCATCACTTTTGACCTTGCCCTCAACAATAAGGTCATTTCCTTCCCTCAGCACTGTCCCGATGCTATCCTGATGCTTTGTCAACTCTAACATAAACTCCTGTAACAATATACATCATTATTTATTCACAACTTTCTTTCTATAAAGTTATACCTAAAAGGAGACATACTGACAACAAAAATGTAGTACTGTTCCCGAGATTGTTTAACAAAAAAACCCTCTGTCTTTACATTTTTCATTCATTAATATTTCAGAAATTCAAGAGACAGGCAAAATACGTTTTTGAATATTTCATCTTTTTTTATACAGAGTCTTGTACTACATGTATATCAACTAGTGGATTGTCCTTTATTCTAATACATGTATTCCTTATTCAAGCAGTTTAAAAATGATCTCTGTAAGAAGTGTGTAAGGGGTTTGAAATATACAACAAATCACTGATAACTTTGAATATCAAATCTTTATATAGATCTTCCTTGTTTTTTTGTCAAAGCTACAGGCAAATGTCTACAATATCAAGAAAAAAGTAATATAACAGCATAATATTATGGTAAAATTTATTTCCCTGTACAGCCATCTGTAAGAAACACAATCTGCAATTCATATAATATCTTAGTTTCTAGACAACTAAATGTCTTTTCCCCAATCATGTTAATGTCATTACATATAAAATGTCGAAAACAAGAAAATAAATGCCCTCACCTCATGTTCACTGAACTGTTTTTTCACCACGACAACCGTGTTTCCCAGAGTTTCCTGTGTTTCTACCACTTCTTCTGCCTCCAGTAACCAAGTAAGTACGTTCTCGAGGCTGTCCTGATACGAAAGTAGGTCAACTGAGCCAGAGGAACTCATCGTACTTTGTCGACTAGACGAGGAGCTTAATGATGCTGCCATCTATTAAACAGAAAATATAAAATGATGTAAATATATCACCAACTGATGTAAATATATCACCAACTGATGTAAATATATCACCATCTGATGTAAATATATCACCAACTGATGTAAATATATCACCAACTGATGTAAATATATCACCATCTGATGTAAATATATCACCAACTGATGTAAATATATCACCAACTAATGTGAATATATCACCAACTGATGTAAATATATCACCATCTGATGTAAATATATCACCAACTGATGTGAATATATCACCAACTGATGTAAATATATAAGCAATTGATGTAAATATATCACCAACTGATGTAAATATACCACCACCTGATGTGAATATATCACCAACTGATGTAAATATATCACCAAATGATGCAAAAACATCACTTTTTGATGTAAATGTATCACCAACTGATGTAAATATATCACCAACTGATGTAAATATATCACCAACTGATGTAAATATATCACCAACTGATGTAAATATATCACCAACTGATGTAAATATATCACCAACTGATATAATTATATCACCAACTGATGCAAATACATCACTTTTTGATGTAAATGTATCACCAAATGATGTACTAAATCTACTAAATTTGGTGTAAACCTAGGTAGTTTAGGAAAAAAATCTATAGCCATGTGACGTCACTATGACAGGTTAAACAATATTTAGTAAAAAGATTTTTTTTAGAGCTGTTCATTATCTTTAATTTGAACTTTAAAACTGCAAATGTAGTGGCAATTCTTACACAGAACAAGCTCAGCTAAATTTGCTGTAACCCTAGTAGTTAAATTAAAAAAAAAATATTAAAAGCCCAGTCAGGTCAGTCAGTATGGACTTGTTTTAGATACTACAGTAGCATAGTTCTGTTGTAATTATTATAAATGCCACAAGCACTCAAAACTGTTTACATCTTTTATTTACATATTCTTTCATATTCAAAATAACTTGACTGAAAATCAAGTAGAACAGAGTAAACAAGTTGCTTTGATTGAAATAAAAGACAAAGGTTGATTAACACAGCAGAACTTTGTTCTATATAGTACATCTATAGCTTCTAGGAATTCTTTAGTTTTTTGTAATTCTTCAGATAATCAAGCATCATCTAATATGAAAGAAAATGAAACAGTTTTGAGAACTTTGAAAAGCTCTATTTTTTGCAGGAACCCTGTAGCAAGCTGTTTCTAAGATTCTTTATCTTCCTAAAATTGTTGCATTAAAAACAAAGCATAAAATGTGCACTATGTACTTCAAAAAGTTTCCTTAGATTCTAGTTATATAATATTGTATTCTATAAATCAAAGATTTCAAATGGAAAATTAATGACCGCACTTTTGTAACTGGAGATATTATTTCACCAAGAGTTTCTACAATTAATAATTCCTCAGGGGTATGGAATTTCATTGCAATATTACATATATTTATTACCAGTCTCGACTGAATGAGATTCTTACCATTATAGAATCATTCTATTATTTAAATGGCCATAAACAACTTTTCATGGACTAAAAAACACGCCTGGTGAGCTCAATAGGTAGAACGTTGCCCTGTGAATCGGGTGACCTTGGTTCGATCCCCTGACGGTGCCGGTCACATTCGTTGTGATTGATTATAATATCCTTTCTACGGTCATTCGCACTGTACCTCTGCTCTGGCATGTACATAAGTTTCAGTTTTTTGCCAAAGTGAAGGCAACTAGTACTGGTAAACTGCTTGACAGCTTGCCTAGGAACGGTGCAGTGGCTGAACTGTTCTCTGGTAAATTCAGTGTGGCTTACTGATGTGATCTGGAGTGAAAACTACCAATGCCACCACCACTATTCATGGACTAAATCAACAACAACAACCACACAACAACAATAATGCCAGGCATTAACCCCTATGAATCTTGGGTATGTTGTTAAAAGCATTTTTAAAGTTTCCTGAAGAGTTTCCAGGTACAACAGGAAACAGCATGGTTTTGTTTGATTAAACATTTTCTCACATTGTTGTAATACTAACATAACTGTATTTAGATATATAGAGAGGTAAAACAGTCTCGTAATGAGCCAGTTAATCACCTATTTTCTGCCTTTGATCACATTAATTCTTTTATCATTGAAACTGACAACAAAATAATTACAAACTTGTTTATAAATATTGTGTATAAACTTGTTTACTTGGAGATATATAGATAGTGATGGTGCCAATTTGTTGATGAAAATATTGAATTTTTTGTTTCAGTAATTACTATTACTGAGCAAATTGCGTGTGAAATTTTCCATCATAAATATTAGAGTAAATTACTATATTGAAGGTGTTAATACTGTTGTTTAAATGAACATGTAGTTACTGAGAAGATAGCAAAAAATTATAATGATAATGATAACCATGTTGAAAATGATATTTAAACTTGAGAAATGTTCCTTGTGTAGTGTTGAAATAACAAAAACTAAAGTACTTAAGAAAAAGCAACAAACTCAATAATTTCAATTTTTTCAGTAGTGCTTTCAATGCTTGTTGTGCATATCATCATAATCATCACCAACATCAACATCATTTTCATGATTATATTCTTTATTATATACGTAACAAGAGCACCGCTAGGCGGAGCATTATATGCCCGAAAGTGTTTTTTTTTAGTAAGGCTGAAGCATTTGTAAGACATGGAATTCGCTGTTCATCCTATAAAATTTTACAGCTGTAGGTTGATTAATACTTAAGTTATTAATAATGACCTTAACCTTTGACCTTGTGACCCCAAAATAAATAGGGGTCTTCTATCTTATATGGACAATCATCCTAAGAAGTTTGAATATTGTGGGCCAATTGGAACTTTTAATTATGCTCTAGAAACTGTTTTCAGTATTAAGGTAAAAGTGACTTTGACCTTGTGACCCAAAATCAATAGGGGTCTTCTACCCAATATGGATAATCATCCTAAGAAGTTTGAATATTGTGGGCCAAATGGAACTTACGTTATGCTCCGGGAAACTGTTTTTGGTTTTAAGGTAATTGTGACCTTGACCTTTGACCTAGTGACCCCAAAATCAATAGGGGTCTTTTGCCCAATATGGACAATCATCCTATGAAGTTTGAATATTGTGGGCCAATGGAACTTAAGTTTATGCTCCAGAAACTATTTTCGGTTTTAAGGATATAGTGACCTTGACCCTTGACCTTTTGACCCCAAAATCAATAGGGGTCTTCTACCCAATATGGACAATCATCCTATGAAGTTTGAACACTGTGGGCCAAATGGAACTTAAGTTATGCTCTGGAAAACTGTTTCCAGTATCAAGGTAATAGTGACCTTGACCTTTGACCTTGTGACCCCAAAATCAATAGGGGTCTTCTATCCAATATGGACAATCATCCTATGAAGTTTTGAACATTGTGGGTCGAATAGAACTTAAGTTATGCTCCGGAACTGTTTTCAGTTTTAAGGTCATAGTGACCTTGACCTTTGACCTTGTGACCCCAAAATCAATAGGGGTCTTCTACCTAATATGGACAATCATCCTATGAAGTTTGAACATTGTGGGTCAATTGGAAGTTAAGTTATGCTCCGGAAACTGTTTTCAGTTTTAAGGTCATAGTGACCTTGACCTTTGACCTTGTGACCCCAAAATAAATAGGGGTCTTCTACCCAATATGGGCAATCATCCTATGAAGTTTGAACATTGTGGGGCAAATGGAACTTAAGTTATGCTCCGGAAACCAAATTGCTAACGGACGGACGGACGGACGGACAGACAGACGGACGCCAGGGGGTATAACATAATATGCCCTTTCGGGCATATAATAAAGAATATTATCATGAAAATGATGTTGATGAGATTGGTGATGATTATATAATGATGATTATGATACTATTCTGGATGATAACAAAGATAAATATGAAGATATTGACCTGAAAAAAATGATGATGATGATGATGATGATGATGAAGATGATGATGATGACAATAAAGAAAATGATAATGATGGTATTGGTGATAGTTATATAGTTATTGATGATGAAGATTGGTTTATACAGAATTTGTTTAGTTTGATTGTGTAGGAAGTTCACACTCTCGAACCAACCAGTACTGAGCAACAAGTTGTAAAGTTTCTTGCTCAATAAAACAGCAACTTGCCCATACTGATGAAGATTGTGATGATATTAAAGAAAAATATGTAGATATGGATCCAAATGATGATGATGATAATATTGATAGTGGCAGTGATGATGGTGGTGGTGATGATGATGATGAAATACAACACATGACATTATGGGCATACAGGTTGGCTTACAAAACAACAAAAATAAAAGAGAAACCTTTAAATACCACAAAATAAACAGGAAAATGTCATGGGGATACAGATAATGAAAGATTATTTTGTTGTGTAAAAAAAACACTTAATATAAGATTAGCATGACCTTAGGTAACAGCATGATGTTATACAAATTGGTTGATGTATTGGTGATTAGAAACCTGACTGATCTACCCTGATCATCTACTATAATATAATACAATAATGAATGCCCTAATGCTTAAACCAGAGAAATTTCTTCTGTAACTATATTGAAATAATATGTTAATATGCTAAATTCATCAAAACATGTGAAAATACTGTTTGCAAGCTTTCTTATGAAAGCAAGAACAGAAAGTTTATCATAAAAAAGACATGTGCTTTTTAAACAATTATTCACAGATTGAAGACTATATTTTTTACACACAATATAGAGGATATTTGTTTAGTTCAGTGTAAGATCGGCATATATTTCACTGAGTTAGCACCAAAAGGTATATTTCACGCGCCACAAGTGAAATATGAACTTTTGGTGTTCACAAGGTGAAATATATTTCAATCTTACACTAAACTAAACAAATTTTCTTTTATTACATCCCAAAAAAAACGTTTTAAAAAGACTTTAAAAACCCCTAAAAAAGTGAAGGGAAAAGCGCGCCAACTAAAAATTTTACAACTTTGACGCATTTACGAATTTCATTCTTTAAATT